AAAAGTTCCAGATTGGTCATAGGTTTGAAATGAACTCCTGACTAAAAAGTTGCCTATGTTTTTGTCACGTTTGAATGAAATAAGTGGGGGTTGCGAAAAGATAGTGCCAGTCTCTGAATCGTTTTGGAGTAATTTAAAATTTTTAAGAATGATAGATTTAACTGCGTGGTTGTGAGGGTGAAATGTAAGAGTAAATGGAATGCGGTCAGTGTTCTCCTTCTCGGCCGTTTGTAGTGCTGCCTGTCGAATGATTTGTTGGGCACGGTGGTAGCCCGCTTGAACGACAGAAACAGGATAGCCGCGTTTATCGAAAAACTGGCACATTGCCTCTGATTTTTCGGAAAATTCAGAGTCGTCACAACATAAACGACGAAGTCTGAGAAACTGTGAAAAAGGTATGGAGTTCTTGACGTGTGATGGATGTGAGGATGAATACAACAAGTAACTATGTGAATCTGTAGGTTTGTAGTAAACACTACTACATAAGCCGTTGCCTTCAATTGAAATTTTGATGTCTAGAAAAGCCAAAGAAGTGTCGGAAATTTCCCAGGTATATTTAAGAGCCGGATGAAACGCATCCAAACCAGTCGCTAGACACTTTAATCTTCCTTATCATTCTAAACAGCATATGGCAGTTTGCGGCCTTTCCTTACATCTAGGCAGTTCGGAAAGCCGTAAAACACTAGAACAAAAATTTATATTCCAAATCGGCACCCTTAATCCCGCTTTGGTCCTCTTTATTGTTTCCTTTCTGATAAAAGGAGTTATTCTGAACACGAACCTAACTACAGTAGAGGTAAAACTGGGCAGATTGTCAATTATGGCTAATATGTGAAGCTGAAACTGAACCGAACGTAGGAATCATTGATCAAACAACAAAACAATTCTTGGAAAAAAGCAAAATATCAGGTATCATTTAAACCTTTCATTAATTATTCATATCAGTTACTTTTCCTTTACAAACGTTCTTAATAAACTTTGCCGGGCCAAACCAGCCGTTCCCCCTTTTTTGGTTATCCTTCAAATTTTCAATAAGTAATATGTTAGGTGTTGTTCTAGGAAAGAATGCAGATTAAAAATCCACAAATAATGAGGAGTAAAAGCTAAACTTTGTTGGAAACGTCAGTAAATCTGAACAGTTTCACTTTCATTTCTTCCTTAAAATTTTCGAGCATCCTTTGTTTTTCTGGTAGGTTAATGAAATGGTAACTTATTATTTCTCCCCTTGAAAAGGCTGATCTGACATCTATTGGCAATGTAGGAATGGGTGAATTGAATTTTATTCTTAATCTTGTATCTTATGGAGACGTTTTCTTTGATATTATTGGGGGCAATGTGGTCGAGTGGTTGAGGCTCTGGGCTTGTAATCCCTTTTGCACCGATTTCAACTTTTTGGCTGCACTTTGTATATAGCCAACTAGTCTGCCTCGTGTCAGTTAGGATTTTTAAACGCTATGTTTATTTACAATATGTGTTTCTAATTTGTTTGTATCGGCTCTGAAAACGGTCTCATCGGGGGAGGGATCAATTAGGCATACACCACGGACAGTACATCATATTTTCCTTTGAGAAATGTCTCCGTTTTAGTCAGTCCTTAGTATAATGGAAAATAAGCTGGAAATGAAAACCTATTAAAAAGTTGCAGTTTCCCGGCCTTTCTTCAATGACGATCTCAATGTGGATCTCTTTCCAGTTTTTTTTTTCCAGCCGCATCATTTTAAATTTTACCTGAAGTTCAATATCGTTAGAGAGCTGAATTTTGCCAATAGCGACGCATGCAAATTGAAAAGAAAAGACGGGTGTCAACTGACTGTTTACGAAAGAATATGATAAAAATCATGTACACGATTTAAAATGATCAGTTTTACTCACTATACTTAAACAAGTAGTCTTGTTAGGGACATTACACTTTTACAATTACCATCCAACTCTTGAACTTTTTCCTTAAAAATTATTCCCTTTACGAATTATGAAAATGTAAGGGAAAATGTAACTTCTAACTGATCAGCAACAAAGACCTCTGGAATAGAATATTTAAATCAATTATTTCTCGGTTCTCTTGGGTATATACAAGCTTAGCCTTGAGATGAAACTAGTGTGTCTATATAAATAGGGTTTACAGTCAAGTCGCCCAGAGTCATCTCGCCCGAAACCTGAGTCATGTTGTCCGAAATTTTAGTTATGTCGCCCGAAAAAAAAGTCAAGTCGCCCAAAGAAGCAAATACTAAAAAAATCAGAATTTCAGACTGTTAATAGGCAATAACATTGAGAAATTTTTCATCACTAAAGCGCTCTTTGTTTCCGACAACACCATGAAGATTCTTAAAGCGTTGTTCGTTCCTAACAACAAAGGGAAACGTTGTTCGTTTCCAAAAACAGAATACAGCATTGTTCGTTTGGTACGTGATCGTTTCTTACTCACGGACGTTTCGTAAGCTTGAGAAACTTTTTCTTGGTTTTTAACAATACCATGAATATATTTGAGTAACGATTCTAAAAGCGTGGTTCGTTTCTAACAACAAAGGGAAGCGTTCTCCGTTTCAAACAAGAAAATTAAGCGTTGTTCGTTTGGTATGTATTCGTTTCTTGACTTGACCGGTTACCTATATATAGAAATTACCTCACATGAGGTGAATAACGAACTAAATGGCTGCTTGATATTTGATTTTTGACGAACTAGAAAACTGGCCGAGTTAATTGCGCTCAAATCCTGCTGGGGACTTTTCGTGTCCGTTACACATCTAGCGAAGATCGAAAAAGATTGAAAACAGTTTATGGCGGGCACGTAATGAGTTTGGTTTTCAATCTCAACGTCAAGGAAACTTAGACTGCTCAACAAACAGACTCGAAACGAATTCCGTTTAAAACTCGGAATCCATCCTGTACAAAGTTTGCGTATTTCAAGTACCCTCAGTCCGATGTTTGAAACCTCCTTGAGTTTTCGTACCTTTCTCATAACTAAAATAGTGGACCAGACACTGTACTTGAATGACAGTAATCTTAAAACAAGAGCTCAGTCTTACCTTAGTCAAAATTCCCTGTGATTGAATGCTCTTCAATGAGTGTCCTTCACTCCAATTAGTCTCAATTCAGATTTTCGTTGCTGGCCAGGTTAGTTTTTTGTCAAGAGAATTTATGCTCTCTACTCAACGTCCATACTCTTTGCCTGTTTTTATTTGATTTCCGTCCGCCGAGATTGCCTTTCAATCACAGATGACAGTTTTCCCAAACCCTGGAGCTCTTTCATCAGTTTTGTAAACGAAAGATGTTTGGTTTGATAAATTAATTCACAGCATGAGTAATTATATGAAATGAAATGTCGGAAATGTCTTGAAAGGCGAAATGAAAATTCAGAAACTTGGAAACCAGTCAGAAAAGTGGATAAATAAAACGTGAATGCGATGTGACAAGTTGTTTCCATTTCTTTCCCTCAACGCAGTTGTCGAATTTTTATTAAGACACTGTGTAATTTGATTCAATAAAGCATTGACCTAGTACTAACAATGTTTCTTTGGCTCTACCAATAAGTAACGTAGGAAATTTTTGTTGTTTTCTTTACAATAAAACATCAATATTTTGATTGAATTTTGCCCGTGAAGCAGTGAAGCAGTGATGATTTTTTAAAATTTTATATTACACTGAACTTAGATAGTTACCTACACTGGTGGTTGGTCACTTGAAGTGGAAATAAAAATGGATGGTGCGATTAAACCGAGATAATTTCTGCGACGTGTTTTCCTCTCGATAGTTAGGAACTAATTTTACCTGACAAACAAGTATACCAACATGCATTTACATTGATCACTTTATTTTTATTAGCCTGCATCCGATGTGACTGACATTTTAGTTATTATTTCATGTTGTCCCGATTGGTCATATTTTCTCACCTTAAATTAAACTAAGGAAAATAACAATTTATTGCGACCAGCAGAATATCATTAGTCGTGGAGTGCAATCTCATGTCCAACACCTGCATTTTAACAAAAAACAACTGCCTTTTGAGGGTTCAGGCTCGATTCAATTAATTTTTAATAATCTTTTGTTTTTTAGCGATAAGACCTTATTTATTTATTTTTGCGTCGGTGATTGAAAAAACTGAATGAATAATTTTTTATCAGTTCCATAATTGCATCCTTTTGCTTCTTTCAATAAACTCCACTTCGCCTTTTATTAATATCATTCAAAAACTCAGGACGAGTTTTCCAGCAAATGGAAGAAATATCATACTAAAAAATACCATACTCTTGTGCATGGAGGAATTAAAATGACGTCCCATGAAATAAAGGTTATCAGAAATGTGAGGTATCCCTAAAAATCCGGCGGGAATTTGACATAATAACATCAGCTGGGGGTAAATTACCGATTGAACCTTTATTTTTAAGGAAATGGTACGTTTAATTTCATTTCGTTAGAAATCATTCATCGCACAAAAGGCTATCGATCGAGCAATTTTATTCTCAAAGAACGGAAAAGAATAAAAAAAGGCCGCTGACTTGGATAACGGACAGGTGTTAAAATGTTTGATTACCACACCACTTTTCGTCACAACTTCTGAGGTTTTTTTTTCCAAAGAGACCGACCCGACGCTGGTTGAATAAATTCGAGATAAATATAAGGGAGGACAGTTATTATTCGTCGCCTGGGGGCAGAGGGGGTCGTAGATTTTGTTAGAGGGGAGAATCACATGGTTATCAGAGAAAACAGAGGGGGATCAGACATCACCAGCAGAGTATAAATGTGGAACTATAAAAAATTGACTGCAAATTAACTGCCGATGAGGGGTAGGGGGGTGGGGAGGTAAGAACATTACTGAACTTTAAGGCGGGATCAAGTAAATTTTATCGTGACAATTAAAATCACCCAACCTCCCCCCATCCCCTCCGCGCGCCGGCGATACACAATGACTGATCACTAAAGATGATTCTCAAAATATCACTAAGACCTCAATTACTAAGTGATTGGACGGGTTGGGAATAACAGATCCACACAAACACAAATCCCTTCACTTTCAACGTTTAATAGGCGTTCTCTTTTCCCCTACTACAATAATTAGTCTGATACTTCTTGTCCGATAGAAGGCCTCTTGCTTTCTCAAGTACATGCACACAAATACCCTGGACAGTTTCCCCGGGCACAGTTTTCATTACACCATTTATCCATGCCTGCATTCCCTTGCCACGCCCCTATAGCATGGCAAGATCCAGATGGAGGTCCACCTGTAGGAGGCCCAGCAGAAGGGGGCTGGGTACTAGGTTCTGGCCATGGGGAGGGGATGGGAGGTCTTGTTCCCCCGCCTCCTCCCCCTAATGCTTGCTTGACGGCATTCATCAGAGGATACCTTAGTGAGACAGGGTTGAAGTCAGTAGATAATTAATGAAATAAACAGACTGCTCTCAATTTGACTTACAGTATGGGACATGTTCAAAGCTTTCTGGACGAAGCAAAAGGAGAAAGAAATCGCTCAGTTATTTCATAGCTTGACTTACGTACCAACTTGGAACATTAGAAAACTCGTAACATCATAATTCACAATTCGACTACCTCTTGAGTTAGACAAGGCACAACAATTTCTGTTAAAACTATTCTACTAGACTACATTTTATCACATAAAATGTTCGAAGAGCACAACTGCGAAATTGTTTTTTTTTGTTAAAGAAATCAAAGAAAAAAGTAACGTGGTATTTTTACCTCCCTTTTTTGCAAAAAGAACCCTTGAAATCATCCAGATCCAGCGCCCAGAACATGGCACCCAGCAGATTTTTTTCTTTTATGACAGAGTTCACTTTTAGTGTCAAACTCATCTCATCATCGTACCCCACCCACTGATCTCCTTTGTATCCATACGGGGCTTTCACTGTGTTGTCCTGTACCACGGTCAGACCCATTGTACAAATCTCGTAATAGGACAGGAATCCCCCTTCTCTGGTGTATTTCCCTGGGGTAGCCTTTCCACTGGCCGAAGCTCCCAGTCCATTCTTATTAGGATTGACAAGCTTAAATGCTCGGCCATAAGTTCCTAATCCTAGAGCGATTTTCTTACACGGCATACCCTGAGTAATAATAGGAACAAATCTAAGAGTGCAAAGGTACGAGTAATTAGACTGAACAAATCAGTACAGGACAGAACAACCCGAGCAATCTTATTGAAACAAATGTACAACAAATAAGCATCAAAGTGAAACTCTTCGATTGCAAAAAACTGACAAACTAACAAGTTAACTTCAAGAAAGTTTCAACACCTCAGTGGATTTCGATACTTCGAAGAATCACTGACTAAAGCGATTCTGTAACTGAGACTTCAGTGTCTAAAAGTTATCATGAAAAAATACAACCTAAATCAGAAAACGATGTCTAATTCTCTAATTAATGACATGCTTCCTTGTTAAAATCAAACATTACCTTATCCATCCAATATTGCACTGCGTGGGAGACTGTAAGTTTATCACCTGGGGGACCCTCCAAAGCAGTGTGATGCCCTGTCTGGGAATCCCAGCTTCCATGAAGATCGTATGCCATCAGGTTGATAAAGTCTAAAATGCCAGCTAATTTGCTGATCTCGTATGCCTTGTCAATTGTTGCGTGACCAGCGGCTACGGCGGCTGTTAGCAGAAGTCGTGGCTTTCCGCTCTCAGCTGACTCTTTCTTAAAAGCAGTGAGCAGTTCTTGGCAAAGGATTGTGAAGAGTTGTTTGTCCCCAGGCGGAGAGTTGCCACGATTTCCAGGATACTCCCAGTCTAGATCAAGTCCATCAAAGTTGTACTGTCTCAACAAACTAAATAAGGAGAGAGAGAGCGCGGAAAAGAGTGAGAACAAATCTAAACAAACAGAAGCTTCAGGAAGGAAAATTCTATGTCCGTGGAATGGCACAGGTTTACTTTTTCAGTTGAAACTACGACCCAATCAATTGAACATCGCCTTTGGTTGCTTGCTACTTTCTTCCAAATTTAAGAATACAGTATTTCAAAACTCTTAACATCCGAGGATAGTCAAATTCGAAATAAACGTGTTTTCTCACAATAAATCTATTCCGTATTGTTACACGATAAAACCGCCATGTTAATGATCACGAAGTTCTCTTTTCTTTGAAAAGATGCAAGTGCCAACTACTTTCCTATCTAACTCGAAACAAGAACAAGGCAGAATTAGGATCTGAATTCATGATTTTGAATTCCAATTTTTTACACAAGTTTCTCACCTCTTTACAGAGTCAATGAAGACTTTTCGTGTGGCGATCGTTCTCACCATGCGAGAGAATGGACTTTCAGTACCACTCTCATGGTTCCAACCACCAACAGCCAACAGTGTCTTCAACTCAGGGTTATTTTCTTTCAAATTGTTAAATCGGACGTACATTTTATCGTCGTTCCATTCATACATGGCAATCATGTTCTGTTGATTGATTTTGGCGAACGAGTATATGATATGTGTGCACAGGAATGGGTCAATGTCCTCTGGAAAGAACTTGGCCCCCACCGGTCGATACTGGGCCCAGTTTGTGTAATAACACACTCTGTAGTATGCATTAGAAGTTGCTGACACAGCCATCAACGCTAACAACACAGTTAAGGCTCGCATTCTCAACTAAACGGATTTCTTCTCTGGAAAAAGACAACCACGACAACGACAAAACAAATTGCTACACGATAGTCTAACAAATTGTACCAGCCTAAAAAACAGAGGGTTAGGCCGCACCCCTTCTGGGAGATTTCTTTTCGAAAATCTGAATCTATCATAAAAACTCAAGTTACATATACGATAATTCGCTTTCCTCATTCATTTGTATTTATTTCAATGCCTGTCTGCCTCACTATTTCTTCGTTAAGAACTCTTCACGGAAAACCAGGTTAAAATTGTATACTTTCCTTCCATGAGTGAGTTTGAACTGTAGTATCTTTGATATTTTTTCACAACATTGATCTTACTAGAGGGGGAAAACGTTGACCAGGATAGTGAGAGATAAGTGATTTACCTTTCTTGAGTGGCGCACTAGTCTAGTTTTACAGAGTTAAAACACGATCGATTAATACCTTCGAGTAGCTTCACAACTGTAGTTCGTCGGAGACCTTACGAAAGCTTTTAACAACAGTCAGTTTACACTCGAGCTGATTTTTGTATTTGCAGCTGTCTGAGATGTGTGTACATAAGTAGGAAAACTGGTTCGACTGTGCTCTCACACCTGTATAAACCCTTGCTTTTGGGAAAATAAAGTATGGTAAACGAAGAGAGAGTGGAATTTAGTCAGAAATCGAAAATCAAATGCTTTTGTTTAGGCATGAAGTACCTTCCTCACAATGGATCTTTTTAAAATTTTGCAAATTTCAAACAATTCAATTCTCAAATTTCAGTCATAGTAATTCGACGAAGTTTTTGTTATTGAGGTTCATTTTATGGTTAAGAATACATAAAAATGGAAATAATTAAAAGAAATATTTTTAGTGATCTTGTTTTGATAAACTATCTATTGACCGTCGTCTTATCTCCGCACACGAACTTGGAATCATATACAAAAACCGGACACATTTTAACTCCTCGTTTCTGCTGTCATTATGTGGCATTTGATGTGTAACAATCCTGAACCAGCTTAAATTACTATTTCTCCGTACACCACAAGGGCCTCGGAGAGTGACTCAAGATAGCAAGTAGCTATGGTAACTGGATTTATTCCTTTGTAGCCCTAGAGAGAGTGGGATATTTTAAAGTCAGCCTTTGCTGCTTAATGGTTGCATTTCGTTTTTGTTTAAAGTCATCATCTGGACACTAGGTTTGCGCTTCTCTAATGACTTTAATCGGCTGATGATGACCCTTATTGATAGATGAAAGCAGGAGCCCACCATGGGCTCCTGGTGTAAGGCACATCTTTAAATTAAGATTTTCCGGAACCGTCGGAGTGACAGCAATGCTATAGTTGGGTTACACGTTCTTGTTTCTACACTAGCTTGTTTGTTGAGGTGTTCAACACCTGAATTGTCGACCTGCACTTGGAAACAATGTTGTATTCACAGCTGATTGAACACAGAGACATGTTTTGCATTCTGTCATATCTACACTTGACCGCGTTCTGTTCTCGTCGTTTCCGCATAATAGTCGTTTTGTTGCCCTCTTCCCGCAAAAAAGCTTACGTATTGTACCGTATTTACTGAGGATTTGACCGAAAAACTAAATATACGTTTACTATCACAGATCTGACCGATAAAAAGTACAATCTTCAGCACTCTATACTTGTCTAGCTTGAGATCGAGGCTATTACATCAACAGAGGCATAACAAACATAATTTTTATTTTTTAAAAGCCACACCATCATTTTGAAGTTAGTCGTGATAATTGTGCAGGCGAGTAGTGTCTAACAGCACCAGCAGTGTCTTACACAAGACGAATTCAAGCGCTATGCTAGTGCTAAATGTAGAGTGGTGAACGTATTGCTTGAAATACTTCTCGCGAATTTAGTGCGATCTTTCGTCTGTTAAATCTGGTGACGTCTCTAATCAACTTTCAAGGAGCGTGACATCACATGAATCCGATGACCAACACTCGTTTAATCAGAGGTCAACGACTCAACGATAGTCGGTCTCTATATACACAAAGGATACATGGAGATCGATATTCTTAACAAATTAACGCCGTCTTGCGTCTTCTGTTTTCACCTCACATCGTCATTCTGATCTCTACTCGCACCATTTAAGAATAGTAAAAATTTCTCACTGCGTTAGACGTTTGGAGAACGTAAACTATTCCTGTCTTTCTTTCTTGAGCGATGTCGGGGTTCGGGCGCCATCTTGGACTGTCTAACCACTCGCCTCGATTTCGTGCAAGAGCTTTGAATTCCGCTGGCAATTTTTTAAATTTTTTTTAAGAAATAGGGTCCTGCGGGTTGACTCGTGTCGGTCCATGACCATTTTCGTATTATTTCACTAAGATAATTAAAGTGTACTCCAAGACTTGTGTTTATCTTACAAATTGGTCACTAAAAAGCGTTTTTATTAACAAACGAACGGATTCTTAACAAAAAGGCGCATAGTCCCTTTCAAGCATAGATACGAAATAAATTAATATTTGTTATATTCATGCGTAAACGTACACGAGAAAGATATTTACAACCGACGGAGAGAAAGATAGTAGAGTTTTGCTTCAGGTTATGTGGCAGTGTGCAGATTAACCCCCGATCAAAAGGAATTTAAACGTATGACATTTTTTAACACATGAAATGATTCAACAATGGAAAAGGAAAATCGTAAGCTTTGTGAAAAGAGGAAATGAAGTAATGTTTCTTTTAGATGTTTTCAACAGAGATGTAAAGAAGCTGTTCAAGCCCCCTCCTCACAGCAGCGAGTTGTAATAAACGTCCTCGGGGAACAAGGTGTGAGAATTCTCCGCCAGATACCTGCAATTACACACATAAAAAAAAAATTATGAAACTATCTTTCCTCGAATGAAATGTTAAAGCTTCCAACGTACAAGGGATTTGATATCAATGAGAAACTGAAACCGTAAATTTTAAGGCTATTCATGGTTAAAACATAATCCTAACTTTCTCCAACTTTATAAAGGGGGTAAGTTTCTAAAGAAACTATGGTGCTGCGTCACTGAGGGAGTATAACAAGATAATTTGGCTTTATCAACTGAGTTGATGATGTAAATTGACCACCGTAAAGAGTTTCTAAGCTGCCGTTTTAAGCGTTAACCCTTCGTTAGAGCGGGCAAGATTTCCCTTCAGCTTCATATTTCATCATGCAACCAGTTATTTCAAAAAGAAAACATTGGCGAATAGTCTACCTATGGGATAAACACAAATCTTTCTTTCAGCTGCATTGATTGTTTTCTTTCAATATCTATTTGCACTACCACGGAAGTATGCGGTCTAGGAAATGACTAGTCAATTAGCAAGGACGGTCTGAGAAGTTACATGAGCACCCACCTGAGAAATGTATTTATTTGCTCCAAAAGTACGTCAAGATTCTTCTCGGGCATATCTGTTCTTGCTAACAAGCCAGGCAGTTTGACTACACGGGAAAATATAAAAGTTTTCAATACTCATGAAAAATGTCTACGTTTTGTTGGAATTTGCGACATTCACCAAGGTTTCCCTTACATCACAACAATGAGGATTTCATAACTATGTCGAAGGGAGAGCAAAAATCACAAAATTGTGGCATAACTCCTCCGGCCGCCTTCTAAAAATTTCTGAGCTCCCTGGGAAATATCAGTAGTCATCGGATTTGATCGGTCCTCTAAGAAAAATTCTGGCTCTCCGAGCATAAAAATCTCAACATAATCCGAAAGAGGAAAATGGCGATTTGAGCGTTATACAGTCATTTTTTCTGGTTAAATAACTTACCGAATAATCTTAATAAATGCTCAGGTCCGTAGACCTGTGAAGGCATCGTGTGGGTAGAAACACTCAGCGAGCAGGGAATGGGTAAACTTGGAAATGTTGCTGCTGTAATTTGAGACGAACAATCCTCTATCTCCATTGCTTTCTGAGGAATAAAAACAATAACACTCGATGGGTACCTCATTGATATTTTCAGTCATTTAAAGCATCACTGAGGCTATCGCTTGTTTCATTTGCTCAAGGAAGTTATTCGTCATATCTCCAAAAGAGGTGGGTTGTTTTGGTGGATACTATACTGTTTTTCAGCTTCTTAGTTTCTTTACGCTCGGTCAAGCTTCAAAAATTCCATGGTCCGGTGGACTGGAAGTTGACATAGGAGGCAATTGCAGTAAGGAACAAAGATAACTTACCCGTTTTGGTGCGGAAGCATTGCATTCTGGACTCGATGAAGTGGATGACACTGTTGCAGACTGGGAAGCCTCAACATTTGCCGGTGAATTTCTGGGCGTACGTCGACGTAGAAGTCTTTCTTGTTTGGCTAAGGGAAAGAAAGTAACAAGCAACATATAAATCTTCTTGATTTCTGCTACCCAGGTTTACTGATGCATAAGTGGCCACGCTTTCCTGATAGATCACAAAAGCTCAACTAAGTTCTTTGTTAGTCCAACTCAATCCAGTTCAAAACGTGATTGATAACAACCACAGCTACTTTACAGTTACAATTTATTTCAAAAATTAAAATGTAAAAATACCAAAAATTATCTTTATCATTTAAAAAAAAAAAAAATTATTTAGTAATTGTGTACTAGTGTTTAGTATGCTCCAATTTCTAATGAGTTATTGTCTAGAGTGCAAACAAATTAAGAATCATGGGTGTACAAAAAAAACATGTGAGGGGGTGGGGTGGGATAATGGACAAACAGTGCCTTGTAATGTTTGCTTGCATTGTGCCTCCTCATTGTACAATGATGTAGGGTTATGCCATCCAATGACCAAGCAAATGAAAGTTAAAGGGAAGGGCAATGAAATTTAAATTGAGTGAAGAGTGTTGGACATGTGATTACCTACTACCTGATATTCAGTGATTACCCTCTGATCAACAATTATCAAATGCTTAGAAATAACGTGATAGAATTTGTAATAATGAGCAAGGAGAATAAATAGGTTGTATTTTACAATATATTTCCAGTCAAAATGGTTCCAAACTAGTTTGATTAACATTTCCTTCTTTTCCCAGTTACATTGCTTGAATCCTTCAAGAAGGCAAAACACAAATCAAACTAGTTTAAATTCATTTTAACCCTCAATCACTTGGACTAGAAGTGCACACCTTCTCCTTCCTTTGTATCAGTCTGATTTGTAACAATGTTTGCAAAATCCTGCTTCACAGGAGAGCTTTCTGTGGATGAACTAACTATTCCATATTTATTATCTGTTGGTGTTTTTCCATTTAATTCTTCTTGATGTCTGTCCTTAGTTTCCTCAGGGTGAGGGGTGAATTTCATGACCATTTGATATTGCTCACGTTCAAAGTTGTAAAGCAACAAAGTTGGAAGAGTAAAATCAAAATAAATGCGGAGACCATCCATTGCCTCTTTGACCAAGTTTGAGCTGTAGGTTAGCAAAGATTTGAAGATTACTGGGCTAATATTTTATGGCTAGTAAATAATAAGATGAGCAAATACTATGAAGCTACCTTAAAAATAACAAGTTCATTCTGTGAAACGAATAGTAGTTGCATGTACTTGCCATGGACATTTGCATTATTTACCTCTGTCCAGGGTAAAATTCCTGATAATGCTGGAAATAATCTTGAAGAACTTGAACAACATTTGGTGTCCTGGGAAGCTTCACAAGCTGGGAAGAAAATGTAAGTTATTTACCAGGAGGGAGGTTCATATCAAAAAGGCAGTATGGTGTGTTCCCATACAGACCTAGGTCTGTGAATAGCTTTCTTTATTTTTTTGGCTTTTTTGCTTTTTTTTGCTTTACCACAAATGGTGCAAAAGAGGAAAAAATCTGGACCATGGACTGAATTATAAGAAGCTGAACTGGTTAGGAACACACAGGCAGTCAATCAGTTTAAAAACACCTACTCACCTGTTGGTGAGTAAAGATGTGGCATGATGCTAACCATAACAAAAATTACATCAAAATGTTTCAATGTTGCAAACCAAAGTAGAATTGTAGGAAATTTCAAGAGGTAGAGTGTCTGTGCCCCTCCCCCCCAAAATTTTTTGTCAGAGAAGATAAAAAACAAATTGAAGAAGTTGTGAATGAGGGGAACCCTCTCAAACAATAACATGAAATCTGACAGATGCACAAGATATTTTCAACCATCCCAGTCACCAATGGGAAGTGTACAAATATTAGTAGTTATAAGAAACTTCTTACAGTGAATGACTATCAGTGTGTGATAGAGAGCAAGCCTCAAAATCATAAATGATTTTAACTTTGTATTTGATTTTTAAGTGGGAGAAATAACCATGAAAGTTTTCAGTTGTAATTACCTTCTTTTTTCTTTTAATAAAGTAACAGTCATCTTCAAGCTTCAATTTCAACTGGCTTGGTATTTCAATTTCAACTTTTGGTAGTTCTGGGTTTTCCACCTTCAAAACATTAATTTTTTGTCATGAGTTCCCAAGTTGTATCAAACCAGCCAGGAAAACTCACATGAGGTACATTACATTCTTGGATTTGAAACAAAAACCACACAAAATAAACAAAGAAAACAGCAACAATTAAAAAACAACAACAAACCATAAAAACAAACAAACAAACTGGAGACAGACTAACCACTTCTGAAATGGATTTCCTTTCAGATTTGCCAGCATCATCAGAGTCCTTGCTTTCTGAACCTTGAAGAAACCTCCTCTTCTTTTTCATCCTTGTTCTAGCCATGAAAATTTTGAAAATATGTTGAACTGAGCACTTAAGACTCCACTGAATTTGATTATAAATTCTTTGCTCCTGAAATTCACTTTTATTAGTATTTTTAACAACATACTTCAGTGCTTGCTCGTGGAGTCTGCTCATAAGTGATCTGTTGTTTTCTGTATCTTTCAGAACTTGATCTTCCACCACCCAGCGATCCCAGCTGATAAAATAACAATTGTTTATGTAGTACATTCTTTTAATATAGATTAACTTAAATAGGAAAGTCAGTATCCTGGCAAAGCAATCATTTTTATAGTTCATTAGCTGTGACAATTTTTATTTACAAACAATATCATTACATGATCCTCATGGTGCATACCTTCTTTCTTTGCATTGATCACTATTTGGTAATAAAATGTTATATCTACAGTATAGACTGAGTTACCTTCTGTTCCAACCATTAAAATGAATGAAATATTCTGGAACCCTTTTTCCTTTGTCATCTTTGGTGATATCAACTTCTAGAACCTGGTTAAAAGTGACATTACATCAACAAAGATCATTTATTAACCGCAAATTAATTGAATTAGAACGATTAAATTCCGCTCGGACGCTTTTTATAACAAGCAATTGTATGAAACACCTGGATACATTCGAGAGGCGATGGTGGAGAGATTTTTAAGTGAAGGACACTACATGTGCCACTCTACTTTTAACGTTCACATTACCCGTGGAGGGTAGAAAATTTAAACTTTTAATCTAGTTGTTGGTTTTGTACAGCTTAAAAGCGCAGTACATGAAAATGAAATCAAATACAAGTAAAGCTGATTAACTCGAAACCTCTATACCTCTGATTCAAGAATTTTGATGATTATCCGCAAAACCGCGGACAATATGCAGGATAAAAACACGCCACTTCGGCACTAGCTAAGCGTGTTGATGTCAGACTGCTAGTGTCACGCCAGAGTTTCTCAGCTGAGTTTTCTTGGTTCCATTTCACTAACAGTTATCGACAAATTTATCTACAAATGGTTCTAAATAAACAAACCTTTGACTCATATAGCACTCGGGCCTTGTTAGGATCAGGCTCGTAGCAGAGGACTTTTTCTCCTATAGCAAATTTGGGAACTGGATTACTCCTAGTCTCCCGAACTGTCGCCATGATTTGGATGTTTTGGCACTCAACGTGAAGGCTACATAAGTCTACTTTCTTTTAATAATGAAACAGCTGATCGTTGTAATCGCTGTAGATCACAGGCGGTTCGCGCATTTGTTTTGGAAAGAAAACCGCTGAAAATTATTGAGAAAAGCGAGCCTGCCGAGCCTGCCCATGTGAGTATATGATCTGCAGGAACATGTTTAAAAAGTAAGTCGCAATTTTTTAGAGCATTTACAGTTTCCGACGGTTTGCTTGAGGGTTGATATCTCGCGCTTTATATAGATCCGGTGATTTGAATTGATTTCTGATTTAAGGATGAAAATAATTTTTTTTCAAACCTCTTCTTTGCAATACTTATCATCGGGAGATTTCGGGTAGACCTATCCTCCATCGAAGATACAAATACCTCCAAAATTCTGGCTGTGTTAGATTTTGCTTTTATTTTAATTTTTCCCTCATTATTCTTGGTCCCGAAATGTATTAAAGACAATTCGATTCTCTAATAATCTTTATATAGCATTATTTGTCGACAAAATTGAAATTTTCTTTGAAAGATTTCAGGCAAGAGAGTCTGTATCAGGGGTAAGTCAAGTTAAGTCATCTGTCCAGCGTGGGATAAAAACCAAATTGGTGGATCAATTCCCTCCTATTGATGATTACATAGCGCAAATATTTCCAAAAAAGGAACCCCTAGTTCTTGTGAAATGGTGAGTCAAATACCTTTATTTGTTAGGATTATTCAAGAACAGTCTGTTAACTATTTTTTAAAATTTTTTTTAAAAGATGATTACTTGACAATCACATGATAATTGCAAGTATCTGATAACAGGCCAATTAGGAATGCCTTGCTCATAACCTCAAAAGAAATTTCGAAACATTTAACCTTTTACACCCTAATATCAATATGTATATTCTCCATACTGTTCATCGTACATTTCTTAAGGTGCTGACAAGGAGAATTTGTTAAACAATCAAGAGCTACTTCAGTTGGTGATCATTTCCCTTATTCTTGTGACCTTCATGTGTGATTCAGGGAAGATATTGGGGGAGAAATTAGTTGTTAGTCACTCTTAGGGGTGAAAGGGTTAGTTGGCATCACTGTTGTTGGAGATTTTTTAATCACTCTGTATTCAGCCACTTGATAAATAATAATTGATTGAAAAATATACCTGTGTTATAAGTATATAGCATACTGAATTAAATCACTTGTCACATTTCTAACACTGTGTATTTTTTTTATAGTCATGAGCATATAGAAATATTATCTGTCAACCAAGAGATTCTTTTCTTCAGACAAAGAGAAGGAGATTACTTACCATCTCTTAGACTCTTACACAAATGTAAGTTGCTTACTAAAAAATTTAATTTTAGGTTTAATATTGGGTGAACAGCTTTTTTTAATTATATAAATATAATTATACATACATACATTTATGTAGAGGAAAATTACCAGTGCTGGTCTTGTTGTTGCTGTTGTTGTTTTACTGGGTTCTCAACTGGCCATATAAAAAGGTTGGGTTTGGAGCCCTGAAAGTTTCTTTCTTGTCTAATTTTCTGAAAGTGTGGAGTTTGAAATAAATAAAGAATACTAGATATTTCACATAGTTTATTTCACTCCATAGTTTCTGTATTTCTGCCAGAAGATGTGTTATCAAAGTAAATAGCAAGTGGTTTGAAAAAAAAAGAATCAAATACTTTATTGTCACATTTTAAGCCCTGTAATTTTATAATGTTTCTTCCTTGCCTAAAGAAACTTAACTTATGATATCTTTTTTTTCCTAGATCCAGTCATTTTACCTTGTCAACAAGTTGACAAAGGAGCAATCAAATTTCTACTTAGTGGTGCAAATGTTATGTGCAGAGGTTTGACCAGTCCAGGAGCAAAGCTTGCAGACTTGCCAAAGGGAGCAGTAGTTGTATCCTTTCTCAGATACTAGCCTGACCCTCCTTGTTAGGGTTTTCCTCTCTATTTCTTACCCCCACTCCCTTCCTCCACCCCTTTCCTCAGTAAATACAGAAAAATAACAGGGGCCAGACTGCAGGGCTGTAGCCATTAGAAAGGGGCAGGGTGGAGTATACAAATAATATAGATGTAGGTTGGTGAGAAGTTTACCAATGAGTTATGTCAAGGGGGAGGGGTGTAGTTTTCAAATGTCAAAGCTTTAGATCTCTGTATGTTCTGGTGTGGGCCCTTTTCTATCTTTTTGAGTATTTTCTCTTTAAATTGTTTGGGTCTTTTCTAGTCATTCTCTCTCAAGAAGATGCTGACAGATGTTCTTTCTCTTGCCCAAAGCTTTGGTCAAAATCTGTAAATGGATTTTAGAATACAGGAACCCTTAAGTTTTGAGGGATTGTAGGTCCAAAGCTTCTATCTACAAATGGCAAGCTTTTTTGGGTGGTGATAAGGAAGCTCCTGCTTGCTCCATACCAAAGTAACGAGCTGTTTCCTTCATGAGAAACTTTGATATTAGGGATTGTTGAATTGAATAGATTACAGAATCACCCTTTGTCATGACTTCCCATAGAATTAATAATTTGACAAAGCGGTATTTTCATCAAGCTGAGCAATTTTCTTTCATCCCCCTTTCTTCTTCTTTTCTATGTTTTGTTTGCCTTTACTCAAGCTTAGGCAATAACTGCGGAGGGAAAACAACATGCTCTAGCAATAGGAAAAATGACAATGTCTGCAGGAGAAATGTAAGTGAGACCAGTACAGATGTAGTAATTAGGAGAAATTGTTTTCTTTTATTAGATGAGGTAGGTGTTCTATGAAATTTTTTTTAAGAAATTTGAACTTGGTGGAAAGCAAAATAAGGGAAGGAAAACAAAAGGCTACAACAGACAAAATCTCTTCTAAGGAAAGTGAATTTTTGAGGAGAAGTACTCACCTTTTCAATTTTTTATTTTTCTTTGTGAAGCCACATTTTTCATGGTCTTTGATTTCCTGGGTGAGATTGTATTCCTCATGTAACATGTGTAATAAAATAGTTCTGCCCATAAATGAGTGTCCTGTTATTGTACCTGTTTTGTTTGAGTTTTGATTGTTCTGTTGAACTGCTGTGAAGGATGCTATCTTCTAATCACTTTGTCATGTTCATTTTGTTTTATTTTTTTTTTACCTCGGCAGACGAGATACAAACAAAGGAATTGGTATTGAGGTGATACACTTCTTGAATGATGGACTTTGGCAAATGAAGCAGTTGGAAAAATGATTATTTAAACAAATGATGTGTATAAAGATGAAAGTTAATGGACATTGTTAAGTGCAAATGTAAAACCTTCTCAAGAATGTCTATAGCAATAACTTGCAAAGTAATGTATGATAGTAGAGGAGAGAATCATTTAAAGCTGTTTTAATGCACATGAATATCAATTAAAGAACAATTTTGTTTTTTTAACTTACATTTGAATTTACCTCTATCTAATGTCTCTTTCTTATATTTATTGGATTTTGTTTAATATGTGATTGACATGTAATACTCTCTGTATTTGTACTCATGATACAAAATATAGTTTATTGTTACATCCCAGGGGTAATTGTCCTAGGCAAAGGGTGAATTATTACCTATCTGGCACCACCACCCCCCCCCAATGCAAACCGGCATACAGAGAGACATGGTGAAAACAACTTTGATGAGATGAAATATGAGAGAAAATGATATGCTCATCTGGAAATAACGGCAAGTGCCTTTACTTCTTAGCCTGTGATTGTTGCAGAAATAGGCCTGGGATGAATGAGTGCCCATTTCCCTCAAGAGTCTGAAAGATATTCTCTGTTAGCACAAATAGCATAAACCTAGACGCAAAAAGCATGGGTTCCTTTTTGAGGGTGTTTATTGGATTCCATGTGGGGAGAGATGTGAACATTGTTTCAGTTGGGTTTCTTTTAGGAGTCTTACGTCTTTTTTTCGGTTTACTTTTTTGCACTACTGTGTGGACTCTTCTTCACCAGTCTCTGACGGTCTTGTGCATGATAATGAGGTACCCTACAAAAGGCGGGAATAAATTTCAAGATGGCGGATGACAACAACGAAGTAAAAGACGAGCTTCCGAGGTGCTCGACGCTGTTCCTTTCAAAAGATGGATCACAAATGCAATTTTATATGACGCCTTGTGCAATGAAAACCCGTTTGCGACCACTTATACACGTAAGTTTCTTCGAAGATCTTTTCAAGGAGCTCAACTCATCTGGTTTCAAATTCAAAGTTACAACGCGGTGCGTCAACGCTGGCATAGTTTATTTCTATCAATTGCATTTGTTGTTGTGTTGATACTCAACTTGTTGTTTTGATGAATGATATTCTTTCAGAATGGAGGTGGTCAACTATCTAGTAAAGTGTCAACCGACTCTATCAAGTGAGTACAATTCGTCAAACGAAAATTAGAAATTTTAAGTTATCCAGTTTGCTATGTTTATGCATCCGTGTTATTAAAGGAAAGAAAACAGGATCACAGATGCTATCTAATTGGTTCATTTGTGTTCGACTTATAGGCTTGCTGTTCCTGGGACTGTCAGTAACTTGTCTGGTTATTTCTCTACTGAGTACATCTTCGACAGCATAAAGCACAACAAACTACAAGATATGACCAATTATCGGTAAGTGCTTCGAGTATTTTTATCCACTTATTTTATTTAAGGCTAACTAGAGGTATTGAAATTTCTTCTGAATTTGTGCAAAGAAGAAAATGTGCCCATGGTTGGGTCTTTTTATGGAGTTCTGGGTTTCTGTCATTTACATTTACATCTGTTTATCAACAACCTCAACTGATCCCTTCCTCCAACCTATACCTGTTGCATTACCTACAGATATTAGAGAAATCTTGATACAGGGTTCTTTCAACTCTTAAGCTCCTTCTCATTTCTCCTTACAGTATTGCCCTTAAATCAAATGTAAAGGTCATGAGAATAAAGGAAATGATTCCCATTTAAGAAGCTCCTGGTTATCACACAAATTCTCCTTGTCAGTACCCCATAGGAAATGTAGAGGACAGTGTGGAGAATATGAATACCAATGTTAGGGTGTAAAGGGTAATAATGTTAGATGTTATGTCCCTTGGCAAGCCTGGAAATAAGTTTTGTTCTGTATTAGTTCTTATTGGTCTGAGAGAGGGCAACTAGCTAGGCCAAGCTTTTGCCCATAACAATCTGAAATTTACTGTATGTTTCCTGATGATTAGCTGTTATTTGTTATCTTACCTGGCTTTTTAAGTTCCCAACACATGACAAAAGAAAAAAAAGCAAAGCAAAACAAGAAACAGATGGATGAAACATATAGTCATGTTGATCAAATGTTTTTTCTCTTGATCAAGCATTACATCCCAGATTGAAAGGAAACTTGAGGTTGAAAATTCAGAAGGCAAGATGAAAGTAAGGTAAGATATAGGCTAATATGTAGACATGTAGCTAGGAAATTCTTAGTAGTTCTGATACTTAGAACTGTTTAAAAACTGCACTATTGTATAATTATATTCATGGTAAAAAAGGGCCATTGGAGTTGTTATAATATTTTTATACTCCTATTTGACTTTGAGATAGAAGCAGTGTCACTTCAATGGTAGAATATTTGGACCAAATAAATAATTCATGCTTTAAGAAAAAATTGTTGTATCAACAAAAGATCTATGTTCCTACAGGAAGCGGAATGGACGAATTGCATATACTCCTGAAGAGGATTTGGCTTTGTTGGACTTCGTGAATGAATATTTTACCTGCTATCCTATTGGAGGGAATGCTCTGTACAAAAAGGCTGAAAAGCAAAAGGTGAGAAAGAAAATCTTTACTTTTTTGTTGTTCTTTGTTGTCTCTCCTCTGGGGAATGGGGTTACTAGTGTAGCAAGATGATGCATAGCTGTAAATACAATTATAATGATTTTGATGTAGATCGTAAAATGAAGAGGTTTGATGTCAGTTGTAATGATTATTGTTGTTATGGTTAATGATCACTCTCACCACTTGAAAGCTGCTAAGCATGACAAATTTTTTTATTAATATGAAATTTCATGTGTAGGTTACAACTCACACATGGCAGTCAATGAGAGACCATTATCTCAAAGTTTTACATCCTAAAACAAAAATTGATAAGCGGTACAGTCAACTGTCCTTGTGGACAAGAGGTGGAAAAAATTCTTCTGGTAAGATAGAATAGTTTTATTGGATTTTCTGATTGCTCTGAAGATGATGGTTCTGTAAAGGACTGTTATGGTTGACAAGAATGTTGTTTCTAAATTAAAATTTGTAGGTTTTAAAGGAAATGAAAACAAGAAACATGACAGACAGAAAAAAACTGAGAAAAAATTTTCCATAACAGAGAAAGGTAAGTACATGTAGCTCATGCAAACATTTCAAGTAAAGTGTATGGCAGAGAAGTATTTCATCCAGTCTTCATATTTCAAACCACTGGACATAAGGAAAAGTTTCTCTAGACAATTTGGTGTCAGATATTCAATAAAAAATTGCATTGAAACGCTGAAAAACATTCATTTTTGGAAAGTGGGGAATGGCAAGACTTCTACTTTGATACCAATCTACTTAGCAATGAAAATGCCTCAGAAATCTGATTGGTTTTATATGCTGCTGGTTTTATCTCATTGTTGTATATTTTCAATTTTCAGGGGATGCAAGGATAACTAGGGCTCAGGCTGCAAGGATGAAAGAAGAAAATGAAAAAGATGAAGGAACAGTAAAGGAAGATAAAGAAAATGAGGAAGGAGATGAAAAGACAGATGGAAATGGGGAAGAGAAAGTTGACACATCACATGAGGATACTGACGAAACAGATAGTGAAGCAAAAAATGCTGCAACTACAGGTAGTCCTTAATGATCTTCTCTTGCTAATAATAATGTTATGTAGAGTGTGTGTATGGCTTGAGGTCTGACTTATTTGAATCAATTGAAAATTTTGAAGCTTTATTGAAAATAAGATAATGACAATAATGTTAGAAATAATTTTGCTTGTATCTTACAGTTAGTACAATTTCTTGCACCTCAACCTTTCATACAACATACTTTGTCACCAAGCCTCATATAGCAAAACTTATTGTTGAAGTGTATTCTTGTAGTTGTCACTGGAAAAATACATTGAGAGGACAAAGTTCATTCTCTTTGTTGGAATAAAATTTTAACATGGGATTTTAAAATGTATTCAGTTTATTTCATGATAAGTTTTGTCCTGTTTTGTTAGAAAACTTTCCAGATGTTGAAAGTACAGCTGAGGTAAGCAGTGCTGGTGAAGATGTGGATTATGATAAACAGTTTGATGACAACCTTCTTCTAATAGCTTACAAAAGCAAGCAAAGACCTTGTGTTAATCATGTTTGGGAATCTTCTGAAGATGAAAATAAAACTGAAGAAAAGGAAGTCTCCTCAAGCCAAGATACTGATTCAAGTGTTGTGACAAGGAGGAGAAAAAAGTTAAGTGGCAAAAAGGACAAAATGAGTGACTTTGATGGAGAAGTTATTTTTAGAAAGAGCCCTTCAGCGAGAAAAGGCCCTTCTGATGATGAGGATGAGAAGAGGCCTTTGGCAAAGCGAAGCAAGATGACAACCGAGTTTCCACCTGATCATGAAAATGGCTCCAGGGGAAAGGAGGCAAAAGAGATGGAAGCACATTTACATTTCTATCAACAGATGAGAAGCAACATTGAGGTTCATAATGTTTGTACTTAGCATGGACAACCTGATGACAACTTGTTTTAAGCTAGTTTATCAGAGCATCCCTGTTAGAAATATCTGTAGCAAAGGTTCAGATCCACCTTGAATTGCTGAAAAAGTAAGGGTGGCTGTGAGCTCACCTGTACACTTGCACTCTGGAACACTTCTTATTTTTATAACTTAAGTAGAAGAATAACCCTTGATCTATTGATTGCAATGTTTAAGTGAAAATTGCATCTTCAAACTAGTTTTTTAAGTTACAGGAACACTAAAATTACTGGTTAAAATGAAACAAAGTGAAATATTGGTATCATTGTTCCATCAAGTAATTGGCATTAAAAGGAAAAAAACCATTTTGAGCAACCTTAAATGAAGGCTGTTTTGAACTTGCAGAAAATGCAGTCCAAGAACATGACAGTTCCTCAGATCATCCACACTTTGCTCGTCAGCTCTGGAGATTTTGGCGATGCTGAAAATTATCTTAAGGAGGGTATGTACAGTTCTGGACTTGATACTCTAAAGGGTAGATGTTGCTATCCACTGGATACATAGCTATCCAGTAGAAAGCATTTAGTCAACACTTATCCACTGGATGGCAATTTATGTATTTGTAATGGTTATCCACTCTTTGAATAAGTGGCACCTTGCTAATTTGTGCCTGGCACAATATTATACAGCACTTTTTTAAGGGAGTAATTGTATTTTGTGAAACTTTGTTTCAGAATTTGGTTTGGTTCCACATTTATGTTTGCTTGCACTAGTTGTTTCTGTTCTAAATGTATTACTTCCTTCCTTAGGTAAAGAACAATGGACACCCCAAGAGGATAAGATATTGCTGAGTAAAGACAAGACAGGTATAACCAGTCTTGCTAAGAAGAGGGGGTTACAGGCTGTTGTAGACAGGATGAACTTCATGGAGGGCACCAGCTAAAAAGTTTTCCACAAAAAATCTTTCTTAGTTGCCCTAGTAAAAATACAACAGTTTATATCTGGAAAATGAACAATTATGAAATAAGGTCTCAACATCATGTAGCACTTTTATTGTTAATACTCCTTTTGAAATCCTTACTAGAAATTTACAGTTATTCCTCCTCCATTTTAATGAGAAGTGTTCTAAATTTAGGAACTTTGAGTTAACTTTTAGTTAATAAACTATTTTTTCCTAAAATACTTTCAGGTAAATACTATATACAATAAAATTACAAAATTATGAAAGTTGTATCAAAAGAGAGTCTTAAATTTTCCAAATAAAGAAAACCTATTTACAAGAGTGTTACATCCTGACCAGATACTACCGGCACATATACTTTGTAACTGAATATCTCCAATGTTTCACAACTACTTCTAATAATTAATAAAAACTGTCACTACCTTCAAGATACAGGTATTAAGGTAATTATTGAGAGTCACATTCAGTGAGGTTTCTGTCATAAGTGATTATTGGGTGGAGATAGAGCATACTGTTCTATTGGAAAGGCACCTATGAAATTTGATGTTGACCTAAATGTCCTTTGTGTTAAAATGCCAGCAATGCATTTGAAGATGTAGTTGAGGGAGTACTTTGCTGCTCAATGTCAGGCTGATCCAGAATTCCAGGACTGGATGCACAGCGAGGTATACCTTGATTCTCCTGTGTCACATGATTGCTCATTCCACTTGGCTTGACCATTTCCTTAAGCAAAGAGAACACCAGGGTTTGAGGCTTTCCTGACTGTTTCGCCAGCTTTTCTGTCTCCACTGACTTTCTAAGGAGTACAAGATTATGGAGAGCATCTTCATCTCCTGCCTCTGCTGCCATGCGGTAAAATTGAGCAGCTTCCCTCTTATCAACCACAAAGCCACCAAGGCCATGCTCAAAGAACACTCCTACATTGTACTGGGCTCCAGTATGTCCATGCTCAGCTGCAGACTTGTAAAATATTCCAGCTTTGGACATGTCTCTCTCAACACCAAGACCCTGCTCATAGCATATTCCAAGATTATACTCTGCTGATGAATCATTTTTAGCTGCTGCCATTTTAAGATAAGGAACTGCCTTTTCATAATCACAATGGCTGGAAGATTCATCAGCATAGTACAATCCTAGAAATGACTGTGCCTTGCACAGGCCATGTTCTGCAGCTTCTTTGAGAAGCTCAATTGAATGTTGAGGATCTTTCGAGAGACCCCCATCTCCCTGCATGTAAAGAATAGCAAGATTATACATGGCTCCTGCCTGGCCCTGAGCTGCAGCATTTTCATAACACTCTACTGCTTTAGCCAAATCTTTTTCCACTCCTTTGCCATTCTCATAACACAAACCCAGGTTAAATTGTGCCATACGGTGCCCTCGGTCACTGGCTTGCATGAAAAGGAGAAATGCCTTTTGGTGCTGCTTTAGTGATGCAAACTTTATGCCGAGCTTATTTTGGGTGGCTGCTGTGCATTCACTGAAAGAAGCCTGGAATGTAGCAATAGCTTGATCTAGAGGGTCTGATGTCATAGCATTTCCCACATTGTGGACTTGAGAGCTTCCAGCCAAAGGCAACACTCCAAGAGTGGTATGGAATCTGCTCTCTGGCAAAATCTTTGACAACACATGAGAGGGAATTTTTTTGATATTAACATTCCATAGAGACTTTTCATCTGTAAAGAACCTGCGGCAAGCTAGAAGGCTGGAAAGGGCAAGCACCCCTGAACACCACTGTCAGAAAAAATTAAGAAAAATTAGTTAATGTGAATTTCAACAAAATTGATGGCCTGTCCTTCAATTTGACACAACAGGGTTTTTCTACTGCTTTATGGTAATCTGCCAACCATTATCAACCCTTTGAACACATAAGGCCTCTTGTGTCCCTGTTACAATTTTATTCACAAGATTTGTTGAGCTCTTTTAGCAATCACAGCTCATTGTGCTTATCAGGAGTAGGCCTATTTTAACCCGTTTGGTCTTTTGAGCAATAAAAGAATTGCTGGGGAGAGGAGAAACAAAAACGATTTGTTTGGAATGCTTTAGGGTTGTAGAAAGTATAGGAAGAACAATACATTGTGCTGATGCAACCACATTTCACGGTCGGTCGAATTCTTCCCGATTGACGCCTGTTCATGCACAAGCAACATGGCTGTATTTGTAACATTTATCCACAGTATAAGATCACATTAAAGGCGATAAAGAGTTGATCAAGAGACGGATTTCTATTCTTTGAAAGTTACCTCACTATTAGGCTTAGCGGTTCACATAAAATGAGTAAAGTAAAGAGAGTTTTTCCGCCAAATTTACTAGGCTTAAAAGATATTTTTTTAAGAGACCATATAGACTAGGTAAGGCTACATGTACAAACCGTGAAACTCATAATTAAATTTAGCACTTTCAGTTTCACTTACCGATCCCAATTCCCCATGGAATGCCTTAGAATTTTCATCTTCCTTTCCTCTGGCAAAACAATTCGAGAAACTTAGGGTTCGATTTTTCTGGGCGTTCTGAATGTTGTGCAAAATACATCGCACGAGGTCGAAGCCAGACTTCAAAGTTTCGGTCTCTTGTTCTCCCCATTTTCTGGCCTCTGTTACCAGTAATGCTTTGCCATGATACCTTAGAGACTTTTGAAGTCCTTTATCTTTTTCTTCAGGGTATGAGCTATTCTTATCTTCATTCTTCTCAGCAGCTTGAATCTGCCCAAGACGAAGAGATGAATTGCCGGGACGGCCATTCACTGAAAGAGGAACAATGTGTGAATATGAGCTCGGCGATCGTTTTCCGATGTTTTGGCTTTGAACACTTCAAAATTTCACCAAAGACTACTTTGAGATAGATACTAACCTTTTCTATAGATAAATCTCCACATCCTACACTTGTTGTTTACATCTCATTCAAGGTCGTTTTACATCTTTGTCGCATACCGGGTTGTTCAACACCATGTTTACACACCGCCAAGCCTCAAAGTAAAGCGAAATTTACATAAATTTAAAGATGATGTCATCGCATCGTGATTGGTCAAAAATACTAGATTCGCGTGATCGCACATTGCTGATACGTCACTATAATCTAAAGTCCATTTTAGCTCCCAGTGTCTTTCTTCTAAGATCAAGACGAAACAAGACTTAACGAATGAGTTTGGCACCAGTTTCAAACCCCCCAACTTTGTCTTACCTATAATTTCCTATGTGATTTCCCACTACAGCATTTGCATTCAATGTCACACTGTTCAATGGAATATCAATAACTAAGGAGGAAAGGAAAAGGAAAGTAAGGGAAAAGGAAGTAAAGATGAGATAGACAGAAATAGGACAATTGGGATTGGCCAAAAAAAAAAAAAAGGAAAGGGAAGTTAAATGGAGAAAATAAAATTTATGTCAAAATGAAAAATAAAAAGTTTATTTTAATAGTTTCATTCACTTTCAGTAAGTCTTCATGAATATCTCTCTACAGTGTTTGAACACAACATAAAGTTAGCAAACCAACGTAGTTGACAAGGGAAGCTATGATTTCAATCCCTTGTTTGTTTTGTAATTTGTTTACTAGATTCTTCTGCAGGCTTCCTTTTCATTGTGAAAAGACAGCATTTTGGCCCTAAGTAAGAAACCAGTAAAGGAGTATGGTTAACAATATCTTTTTAACATTAAGTGACACATTGCTTCCAGTCTTTTGTTGGCATGCAACCAGGTGCCCATCTGCATCTATCTCTAATTAATGAGTAAAGGGGGTAATTTTTTAGAGAAATAGTGGTGCTGCGTCAGTGGGGAAGTATAACAAGATCATTTGGTTTTATCAACTAAGTTGATAACGTAAATTGACCGCTAAAAAGAGTTTCTAAGTTCGTGTTTGTAGTGTTAGCCCTTCATCAGAGCAAAAGACAAAGGGCTAATGCTCGAAACAGTAGCTTAGAACCTGTTTACGGGAGCCAGGTTAAAGAATCAACTCAGTTAATAAAAACACATTATCTCATTGTGTTTGATTAAGACCTAGTCCTTCATTCATTAAGTCTCTTTTCTGGTCAACTCTCATTGTATATACATTTAAGTTTTCTCTCAGCTTGGAAACTTTGGACCTCCACCAGAATAGTTTCCTGTTATATTAGCTTTGCTGAAGTCAAATCCAGGATTCTGTTGGAAAATAACAAAACAAGTCATTTTGCCCTCTGTTATTGGGTCCCTCAATCTTAACTTTGATTAAAACCTATTAAGACAGAGGTTACCTCTTTCTGGAATCTTTCTAATGTTAGCTTCTTTTCCATTTCATTGAAAGTCCACGGGTCAGCAGAATATTCACTGACCAACAATGATTTCCAGCCACTAGCTGCATCTCTGCTAGATTTCACCAGAATTATTCTTACAAGTTCATTGTCCTCTAAAAGTAAATCAAAGACAACTGACATTGAAAAAATATAATTTGGTTTCATCAGCTGAGTTGATAATGTGAATTGGCCATTGCAAAGAGATTCTAAAGCTGAAATTTTGAGCATTAGCCCTTCATTATTTTCTCTGAATAGGGCTAACCCTTGAAAATAATAATCTATATAACTGGATACCCCCCATAATTCATATGACATAAAAAACTCACAGGAATAGGTGGTTGATTCATCTAGTCTTGGGCTTCTTTGCAAGTAGTCCTCTTTAAATTTCTAGTCATGCATTTGACTTCAAGCACAAACACGAAATGTACTAAATTTCAGCGTGGAATTATTGACTGCATGCAAGTCCCGTTAAGAAAACTAATCGTAAGCAACCACGGCCAGGCCATTTCAGGCGTTCACAGGAAAGTGGTCTGCCCCAAAGGAATGCACCACTGCAACTTGTCCTATTATTTCAGGCTTGTACTTAATTAATGGGACTGAGTTAGCCATTGCAGTACCCTACGATACTTATGATATGTCCGCATAAAAGAAACGTTCATCAAGCTTATTTACCTAATGTCCAAGTGCTTTCATCAGCTAAAACTGTTCCATAGAGTTCTCCCTATCATGAAAATTATCACAACCACGTTAAAAATCTGACAGCAATGCATGGCTTAAAAGAACACGATACAAACTTGCTTTTCTCTACAAATAAAAAAAGTTAAAGTTTCCCCACAAACAACGAAGTCATCACAATCTAGAACTTTGATCTAAAAGGCCGATCACCTTGAAAAATTCTTGTCCTTTTAAGCTAAACTTTATGTTTTTTGGACTGATATCACACACGATTTCTCTCCCTCTGGTTCCTTTTGGTACAATGACCTCGATGAAAACTTCATCAATCGTCTGTGCCCAATTCCCCCATGGAGTTTTCGATGGGACAGTTCCACTCTTCTCGTCAAAGTGGTCCGCCATCTTGTTAACCGATCTTTTTATGTACATTACACGACAAGATCTGCGTGAAAGGGTATTGCCGCTGTTCAGCTTTCAGCTGTTGGCATTTGTAATGCACTTAGGTGCACGTGTTATTCACTCTTCTCTCGGTATATACCAATTTCCGGCCAGTTTTGTGAGAATTGTGACTCGTTGTTACTCCTATTCTGTTGCAGAAATGTCGGTAAGTGATATCCTCGTGTAGGTTCTACGTCGTCTTGCAAAGTGTTCGGGTGATCACCCATTCTTTCCGCCTCAAATAATGTTACTTTCATTATCACTTTTCAAGTGGAACAATATTGTTCACTCTTCTCCCGGTATATACCAATTTCCGGCCAGTTTTGTGACTCGCTGTAACCCCTATTCTGTTGCAGAGTGATTAGGTGATTTCCATGTGTATGTTCTACGTCATCTTGCAAAGTATTCGGGTGATCACTCATTCTTTCCGCCTCAAATAATGATACTTTCATTATTACTTTTCCAGTGGAACAATTGCGTGCACACATGATGCAAATATTAAGGTAGCGAGTATCTTACAATGAATACTGTGTTACAGAAGGAAAAGGGATTTGGAGAGCTGGACTCTTTACATTATGTAGATCTATGCCATGTTATCTTAACAGGGTTTCAAAAATGAACTCTGCACCCTGAAAAGGCTGATGCAATCTTGAGGATACTATGTGAAAGAAGTTGCAATCAAAATGTATTCTGGTAAAAATTTACTTTATAACGCCCAAAATTATGTTAATGGTGTCAAAACTTTCCTTAAACTAAAAAGGAAGCTACACCAATGTATAGAAGTGATATTGGTCACTCCCGCCTTAGATGATAGAGCCTCAGGAAAGTTTGAGAGCACCTACTGACCCCAGTAGCAAATAACTGAGACTAAGTTACCATAAATGGTCTCAAGATTTTCAGATGTGTATTAATCCCCAGTTAAGCCATTTTACCTTATTAGGGCATCAGAATGCACAGAATATGCTATGTGAATAACCTTGCAGATGGCTTATTTATATTTGCTGCTAAAAATGATGTTTATAAACTATACACAATAACTCTCTGCAAGCATTGTATTGTCATGTATTCTTGTAATGGTTATGTGAAACACAGATGAGCCAAATTTTCAAGGAAAACCTTAAGTTCACTTCATTTATTTTTATGGAAAAAAAAGTGAAAAAATTAAAATTAAATGGATTACAACTTATGCATTATTTAGTTAATTTGAATCATATAATTTTTTGCTTGTAATTTGTGAGTTGAAGGTTTTTGTCATTTAGATTGACAGGAAGAGTACAGCCAAGGTTGATTACCTAAAGGAGATAGAAAAGCAGATCCAAAAGAGATGGGCTGAGAATAAAATCTTTGAAGTGGACTCTCTTCCTGTAAGAATCATTAACACTATGGGCCTCTGCCAGATTCCTCTTATTTTGTGTTTTAATTGTCACTTATATTCAGTTTCAATTAACTTTGATATTTCTCTATCAACAGCCTGGATCACCAGATGCAAAGTAAGTAAATTTTTATTGTTGTTGATAATCCTGACTTTGATTTCTTATGATATGGATAAACAATTAGCTTTGTCTTTGAACATGTTACAGAATGAATCTAAGTTTATGTCAAGATTGATTTAATGTTGGAGAGGGGGTGCAGAACCAACCTTGTATAAAAATCGGTCAATTAATTCATGTATGTGTCAGCCAGTGAAATTGTAGTTTGCAAGACTGACAAAGAGCACAAAGTTTGAATGTAAAGCATGAGTACCTGACAGTTGTTAACACATAGCTGGGCCAGCAAATGGTTTTGATAAAGTTCCATATTATTGATATAGGAAAGAAAAGTTCTTTTGCACATTTCCGTATCCTTATATGAATGGAAGACTTCATCTTGGACACACATTTACCCTTTCAAAGGTATGCTGCATTAAATAACACAAAAGAACATGGAACTGAACATTCTTTTTGAAGTTTCTAAATTATTGATAATCTTTTTGATTGACTAGATTTATGCTAGATGATAAAATATTAATTTTATGTTCTGTTTGTTAATTCTATGGCTGCTTTTCTGAAAATTATCCTGGATTCATGGAACAGGCTGAGGTAAAGGACTCTTGAACTGTTTTTTTCAGTTATTTTTTTCACTCATAACTTTTTCTCATTATTCAACAGTATTTGCCAACTAATTTTTTCCAAATTTAATTAAAAATTTTTTTTTTATGAATGGTTAGCTATTGATTACTTGTATTTTAAGTTCAGTCTTTATTTTATGAACAGTTTGCTATTGGTTACCAACGGCTGAAAGGCAAGAGATGTCTTTTTCCATTTGGACTACACTGTACAGGCATGCCCATCAAGGTAATTTTTAAAAGGTTGTTTCTACGTCTAGGTATTAATTTTTATTTTCTCTAAAGGGTAGACAATCAGGTAAAAGCTCTAAGAATTTAAAATCCTTTGGCGATAGTTATTTTCCAGTCATCTAAGATGACAAGAACAATATGATGCTGTTTTTTCCTTGTTTTACATTATAAAAACATCTTGACTGCCTCAGAAAATTATCCAAGACTGTGAGTTTTTTATCCCACTCTATTTGGGATTCTTCCCCTCTACACAATTTCACAGATATTTCAATATTATCAAGTGATATTTTTGGTATCTTGCATTGAAGGAAAAGTGGCAAATGTTTCACTGAGTCAAGCTCACTTTCTTTTCCTTAGCACCATCTTGAAGAGACCTGTTATTACCAGAACTGTGGTGATAAGAGTTTTTAGATTGTTGTCATATGTTTGGATGATAAATTGAAATATTGACAGTTAAATTTCTTGTTGTCTCTTTAAAATAAGAACAATTATCCTTTTGTTAGGCCTGTGCAGACAAGCTGAAGCGTGAAATGGCTGATTTTGGATTTCCTCCAAAGTTTCCCGAAAAAGTTGAAAAAGAGGAGTCAAAACAGGTGCAGGAAAGAAGCTGTAGAAAGTCTTTTTATGGTGGCTAGTTTACATAATCAACAGAATTGATGAAACCAATTGGTAGCCTTGTCCACAGCATGAAGTGTGATGTACAAAGTCCCCTTCATATCACTTTTTTATTAAACCTTTTGATATTTTTTGGGAACATGAGAATGGCTTGTGTTGAGTCAGAAGTCACTTGTACCATAAATAATTTATCTTAAGTGAACTTAATGCTTATTTCTGAAAGACTGAAAATGTCAAGTGGAACAAGTTATAGTCTTTGTAATTGTATCCTGGTTTTATCCATTTAGATGAAAAGCAAGGTTGCAGCCAAGACAGGTGGTTTGGAGTATCAGTGGCAAATTATGCAATCACTTGGATTGAGTGATGAAGAAATAAAAAAGTAAGTGCTGTTCTTTTAATGATCATACAGTTGACAACCACTGATGAGTGCACCTGTAGTCAAGGTTCTATTTCTTTTATTGTTTTTCTTTTATCCTAAAATTTTTTCCCAACAGTAATCTTTATTCTTGGATTTTTGGGTAAATTTTGATAAAGTATCAATCTATAATTTCCTACTGCTTAACTGCTACTCACATTATTTGTTGACGTATTAATTCAGGTTTGCTGAAGCTGATTACTGGTTACATTATTTTCCACCTTTGGCAAAATCTGATCTGCAAAATATGGGATTGAAGGTATGGTAAATTATGGTATGCTTTGATTGTTAACTTTTTAAGGCAAGGTGGAAGTGTGGATTCCTATGCCAAATAGATTTCTATGCAGCGGAAGTGGAATCACTCCTTCCACTGTTACCATGCTAAAGATGCTCCAGTCTTTACACTGCTCGCTGCAGGGTTACTTGTCCTTTTTTACCTGCATAATGTTTACCATTTATAAAGCTCTAAATATATCATTATTTTGTTTAACTCACCAGGTGGACTGGAGACGGTCATTTATCACCACTCATGTCAATCCATACTATGACTCCTTTGTAAGGTGGCATTTCTGGACCCTTAAAGATGGTGGGAAAGTCAAGTTTGGCAAAAGGTGTTCATTGCTTTGTTTCATCTACTGTGAAAGTGATATACTTCACTTTAAGTATGGTAAAGAGTACATGATAGTCATCTGAAGCATTTCTTTAGTTTTACTTTTTGTTCCCGTTTCAAAAATAGCCTCTATTCAAGGCCTTTTTGTTGCTGCCTGCTTATACTAGTACCACCTCTAAGTTGGCTTAGACCCAGAAGGCTGCAGTCTGGCTTGAAGATGTATTCTCTGCTCTTACCTCTCCCTTAGTCAATAGATGGCTTACAAGTTATCTACAGAAACAACAGTGGGGTGGTCAATTAGATTGTTGCCAATGTTTGTTTGGTTTTGTTTTTTTGTTTTTGATAATGGTGAGGGGGGAGGAGGGCACACAGGTGTCATCTTGATGCAGTTCCACTCTACACTTTTTATCTTATTCTAAATTCTGTATGATGAGAATGGGCAAACATAGTTTCTTCTTTTCCTATAAGGTACACAATTTTCTCCCCTAAGGATGGCCAGCCCTGCATGGACCATGACCGACAGACAGGAGAGGTTAGTTTAAATCTCAGAATTAAAAAGATTTCTTCTATCTTCTCCATTCTGTTTATTAAATTAATGTTATTGTTTGATTAGGGAGTAGCACCTCAGGAATACACTGGAATCAAAATGAAGATCTGTGAACCATTCAAAGGGAAACTAAGGTATTAATTCAAGTGGAAATTTTTAATGGAATTACCCCTGAATACTTCATTTAAGTGGACATACTGTATTGATCCGTGTATAATACGCACTTTTTTTCTCTAAAAATAACCATCAAAATCGTGGTGTGTATTATACATGGTTTCTATTGTTTTTCAAGCATGTCCTAATTTGCATACTTTAAAAACACAACAAAGAAAGTAACAAAAGCCTAGTAGTTTAATTGGTCTTTATTAGCTTGAGTTAAATAATCTACTGATGAAACATTTTCAATTTCGATTCACAAACACAACAAGAAAGTGACGAAAGCCTTGTGGTAATTGGTCTTTATTAGCTTGAGTTAAATAATCTACCAATGAAACATTTTCAATTTTGGTCCATAAATAAATTTAATAGAGTATTTAAGAAACAGCTAACGAGATAAACATTACGATCGTACCGTATTACTGTAATCACAAGTGACAAGAAATTCGAAATGGTAATGCAACTTACCACTGTGAAACGTCAGTTGTAGGAAGAATTAACGTTTTTTTCGCACCCCTTTTTTTTTTTTGGTCAAAAATTGGGGTGCGTATTATACATGGGCACGTATTACACACGAGCGCGTATTACACACAAGTAAATACAGTATTTTATCCAGGCATACTTTGATTATTACAAAACAACAAAGTTATTTTCTTTTTTTTCTTTTTTTTTAATTTCAATTTTCTTTTTTAAATCTCACAACTCAAGATTTGTTAGATGTAATTGAATATTTCTATATACAGCTTTATGAATCTCTATTTGCCCTTACATGTTCTTCCTTACCTGACTGGATGATTTTCTTTCCTCTTTGATTCCATGCAGTGCACTGACTGGAAAGAACGTCTTTCTAATGGCTGCTACACTGAGACCAGAAACCATGTATGGACAAACAAACTGTTGGGTTCAACCAGACATCAAGGTGGAACACAACAATTGCAGTCTAAAACTTTGAATTTGCTTTTGAAAACTTCTTTCTAGATACTATTGTTGAGATTTTTGGGACCCTAAATTGAGCAAGCTATTCTATATTTATCTTTTGATATCCTTGTGCCTTTGCAAATGAATGTTTAAAGGTCTTTTCGCTGACTCAGAATACTGTGGCTGTGTCCTTAACAATTTTTACCCCTTAAATGCATGCAAGATGATTGTTGGTGAATTTTTCAACTATTGCTACCATTTTTTTTCAATCTGTGGAACCATTTTGAACCTTTTCATAGTACATTGCCTTTGAGACGAACATTGAAAATGAAATCTATATAAGCACCCGACGAGGAGCAAGGAACATGTCTTATCAAGGGTTCACCCCAAAGGAAGGAGTGGTCAATGTTGTGTTAGAGCTGACTGGACAGGTGTGAATACATTTAAATGTTGTCATATTTTGTTTTCTTAAATTGTCAGGGTACTGGTACATTTTAGTAGAAGCTTACATGCACAACAGATACCATTTTCACTGCTTATGGATGTCTTTTTCCAGAATCATCAATTGCATTTCTTTATTTATCACCTTTATTTGAAGGACATCATGGGAATTCCTTTGGATGCACCGCTCACACATCACAAAGTTGTTTACACTCTCCCCATGTTGACCATCAAAGAAGACAAAGGTGAGACTGGTTTTCAGACCCTTTCCAAGGACTGCATACCTCTGAAACACGTGTCCAGTTTCAAGATAGTATCATTGTTCATGCAACTCAGCTTGAAGCATTATTTACACCGGCAAACTACTTGCTGAGGTTTGAGGGGATAATTCTACCTCAGCAAGTTTTCTTGTATTGAGTTGTGGACAAGTTTCTTTACTCTGTGAACTTTTTCTTTCTAGGTACCGGTATTGTGACGTCAGTTCCCTCGGATGCCCCGGATGATTACGCTGCTCTCAGAGATGTCAAAAAAAAAGCGGTCAGTAAGCTTCTGATGATCATATTAGTTTTAATAGGACAACGTTTTGTGGCAGGAACTAAGATTCTACTCTTTTATTAAACCTCAAGGCATTCAGACAGAAATATGGTATCACAGATGAGATGGTTCTACCATATGAACCTATTCCCATCATCCAGGTCCCTGGTTACGGGGACCTCTGTGCGGTAAAGGCCTGTGACGACCTCAAGATAAAGAGCCAGAATGATAAGGACCTTCTGACAGAAGCCAAAGAGCTCACCTACAAGAAAGCCTTTTACGAGGGAACAATCATTGTTGGGGAATATGCTGGTCAAAAAGTTCAAGACGTGAAGAAACTTGTGCAGAAGAAAATGTTAGACAGCGTAAGTTGATTTTAACTCCTGTGTTTAATTTGTTTGGTTTTTTGTCGATCTATAACTCTGATTAGTTTTTGACATATTGCATCAACAATCTTTACTACAGAGATGTTCCTTTTATTGAGTAAAACTAAAAAATGGTTTGTCTTAAAAACGGTGGCCTTTGTGGGCCTGTTGGATGCAAGGCTATGACTTTTTACGGTGAATTTTCGAGTTTTCGAATTGGAAAATCAAGTGAAAGAAAGATTGGATTAACTGATTAATGAATGAAGGAGCGAAACAGAGAGAAACTTCTGTCGTTCAAGACAAATTGTTTTCACATAATTTCTGTTCTTAGCAACAACGCAATCCCAAGAAAACTTTGGTGATAGTAGCTCTGAGTGAATATTTTGATTTTCTAAGGGTGAGGCACGGATCTACATGGAGCCAGAGAGGAAGGTCATTTCGCGGTCAGCGGATGAATGCATTGTTGCTCTTTGCGACCAGTGGTAAGAATTGGTCAATATAGCGAAAGTTGTCTAATTGATGTTGCCAAGGTAACTTTTTTCTTTTTTCTGGGTAGGTTCCTGGATTATGGCGATGAATCCTGGAAAAATACTGCGCGGGAATCTCTGGAAACTTTGAACACGTAAGTTCCCGTGTGGTGTTTCCTTTTTGTTTTGCCGTATCCACACTTGTCGAAGCTGTAGTCATGAGATCAAGAACGATGTCGAGATGGTATTTGATTTCTTACTTAGCCAATCACGTGCCTGATCGACACCTCTGACTTGCACGCGAGTACAATGTGTGGTTGATTCGGCTCGATAAAACATGCACAGCGATGATGAATACTTAGAGTTTTGCTGAGGACATCGTGGTCTCATGAGAAGTTTAACCAATGGATCCTTCTGAGCTGTGTGATGACGTTTTGCAGTAACTTGGTGGACTCTATTGAGGAAGAAAAGGGCGAGGCTTTGTGTTGTGACTGTTTGGAGGCTTGCGTTGCTAAGTTCCAGGTGATAAGCTTACAGTTTGCTAATGTTGTATTTGTTTTTCAGATACGCGGAGGAAACCAGACGCAACTTTGAAGCCACCTTGGACTGGATTCAGGAGCATGCGTGTTCAAGGTCTTATGGTCTTGGTGAGTATTCTAACAGTGTGGTTAGTGGCTATTGTTAACTTTATATAATTAAAGTAAAAGGTATCACATCTTAAGTAGTTTAAGTTTTCACTAAAGTTTTTGCAATTTTTTTTTCCACACGTGCGCGTTCGTACGAGTTTTTGTTAACTATTAGGTGTTTACGTGTATAAATAAATTACTTACTTACTTACTTACTCGACGGAAATTTGTCTTTGTCTTCTGTCATTGTCATTAATTGCAAACATTACAGTGTAGGTTTAAATGTCTGCAACTGTTGTTAAACAGGACTTTATTTAGCAGACCCTCAGTTCTCTCTTGTCAGCCGATATCTATATTGTAAGATGTACCTCTCCTTTCTGTTGATTATATTTCCTAGGTCAAGTACCGGTCAAATTCTTCAGATATCACTAATCCGATTGTCTACAATTGAACGTGCGTTGTTTCATGCACGGCGTAACTTTAAAAGGAATACTTGGTTTGCTCTCGGGAAGTAGTCGGTTGACTATTGATTTGAGGGCCTAGTCACGAAAGTTCCAAATCCAATCATTCCAATTATTGTCTAGAAGGGTCATTAGTTTAACATGCGGAATAAACTGTTCAAAAAGGCTAGGATGCACTAGACGTGTCAGACGCTTCGGGGTTGAACGAAAACCTTCGCGGAATTTTTACCCTCTCCCATGGAAAATGTGCTTTTATTTATATTTGGTGGAGGAATTTCTCACCCCACACGCGTGTGAGCCAATAATCATCCCCGTTCGTCTCGCGCGGTAAGCTCGCGCGCGTGTCGTTGACAACACCAGAAGAGCTTTGTCAGCTCAGATGATTTTATAGATACAGGAGGTTCTAACTTTTTTATGTTTTTTATTTTATCTTGATAGGCACTCGTTTACCTTGGGATGAACAGTATTTGATTGAGTCGCTGTCTGATTCCACCATTTACAATGCTTACTACACAGTCGCGCATCTGTTGCAAGAGGGCTCCTTTGACGGTTCTGCCGGCGGGCCCCTAGGAATCAGGTACCACTTCAAGTGATAGTTCCCTTGATAAATGGATTCTTTTGACGGCTAGCTCCGCTTTTATGTCGTCTGAATTGCTTGGTTACTAGTACAGTAATCGAATGTATATATTTAACATATTTAAGGAGTGACCTTTTTCAAGGTTTTATCTGTTCACTAAACCTCGCCGTTATTGACGATTAAAAGTGAACACTTATTATTATTTTAATTCGTCCGTCATGTTAGGTTTGTGTAACAAATTGTTTCAAATGACATCTTAAGAGAGTGTTTAGATGAATTCTCGCCATGGACCTGTGAAAGTATCACTCAATTTAAAAATTAAAAAATTCTAAGAGATTTTTGTTAAAAATATAAAAACAGCGGGAAATGCACTGTGTTGTGTGTTCGTCGCTTCCCAGAACGTACTGAGTCTCGGAGTCACTACGGTATGTTTATCTTTCAAACGATGTTTAATTAAAGGCAAGCAGTTCCCTAAGGTTGCGATTGCGATTCAAAGTTTAAAAGTACGATGTGCAAAATAAACTTACTGTGATGTTTTCCTATAAAACGGAGAGCCATCAGAAAGCGGAAACAACTCTTTTTAAAATGTAAATCAGCATGATCAACAGTAAACTAGATCATGATGGAATATTTTTTAATGGATTTAGAAAAAGAAAACGGAGTATTTTCTTTCTTGTGGCTCATTTAACGATTTGTTGTTGGAAAGTATATTTGATTTGTATTTCTCGTCTGTTGGACACATTTAATTTCTTCTTGCATCTGTTATAGTTAACTTCAAAGCCTTTGTCATTCACACGAAAAGGAAGTTTCGCGAAACATCAGGTTATATTTGATGTTATGACGGTGATAACGCATCAGATCAGATTAATATATCTCCAACATTTATTCCAATCTGTGATCAAATTTGCGTTTCTCCCTTAAAGATGCAAGAAATTACGAGCAGGCGCGGGAGGAGAAAAAGGAAAATAGTCAACCTAATGATTAGATTATTTTCTTGAAAAGTCATAGTTAAAGCAGAAAGATGGCAGTTTTCTTATGGAAGATTTATCTTGGAGATTAGAATGATTCAGTTAAGTCGTTATGGCGATACAAAAGGGTTCCCTGTCGATCAGAAAAAATATACAGCCTCTTTGTAAATGGGATTTTCATTAATTTAGATTTTTTTCTAAAATAGAAGTCATGCTGTGTTTCCTTCCGAGCATATTAAGGTTTTGAAACATAGTAATGGAAACGCTTATTCATCTAAACTCGGGTCAGGTGTTCAGCTTGAAAATATTGTGTGTCAATGGTCAGAGACTGTCCATCTGACTTTATTTCAGGCTTTCTTCAACACAACAAACTACTCACTTGTACTCTGCAGCGAAATAAATGAGAGTAATTGATAGTGCTCTGAATATGTACTCTGTGCAGCTCTGCGCTTTTCACTTTTAATTTCTTTTTACGCAGGAATGTACCAAAGGAGCATATTTTGTTTTAGTTTATATCGTGAATTTGTCCTCCCTTCCATTAACAGTCGGAGTTTACCTTCTCTATCGTTCTTTGTTCACTTTTGGTTTACTTGTATTGTTGGTGCGTTCATTTAAGATAACTGCATTATTTTAAAATTTCTCCAAAGTTAAGCGAATATTCAGCCTCTCTTGACGTCGAGATAAAGAAGGCGGCTCATTCTTGTCTCCACGAAAAAAACGCTCCCTGTGCACTGCTTCCTAAAAGTCGCTACAAATCGAAACATGTTATTGCTGCGAGAATCGCATAAATTTCAACCTTTTTTAATTTGTAAGATTTGTTGCGGCGGGAAAATGATGTCGTAAGGATAAATATTTGCTCAAAAATGAAATCCCTCATGTCACACCAAGGGAATTTTCGCCTCAACTTATCAATTCACCTTCACGCATGCACCTTTTAAAAGACGCTTCGAATTATTACTTTTGTTATCATTAGTATTTCCTTTCCATGTTCTAAACCGTATTATGCATTTTCAGGGCGGAACAGATGACTAGAGAGGTGTGGGATTATGTGTTTTTTAAAGATGCACCTTTTCCTCAAACAGACATCTCAGAGGATAAATTGAGGTAAGTATAAAAACAGTCTGGTGTAGCTCACTTTGCACTTAATAAGACTTATTTTTCACTTAATACACGCCATATATTGTTTCAGTGACCTATTTACTGAGTGAAAATGATAGTCTGCCTTTAAGGTAAATGAGAGAAATTATTGAAATAGCAGAGAGGGAGAAAACTGCAATGATCGAATTGTTTTTGTCGCCTCCTTTCTTTCGTTTTTGTTCATCTGGAAATATCGCAGAAGACTGAGTTTAAATCTGAAAACCTTTTCATCCAAAATACCGGATTATGCCTTGATTCTTAAGCGAGAGACAAGCGCGAGGTTTTTATTCTTAAGCTAAAACCCAAAGATTAAAATGTCGCGAGATCGTTATCATTTGAGGCAATCATCTAGAGCTTTCAACACACGAAGAGAGCATTTGGCTCATTATTTCGTCCTCGGCGATTGTTATCTTCTTTGTTTTGATGTGAAAAAAATTGGCGCCATACGGAAAACAGATGTAAATACGGAAAGTCACGGCTGTTTTCTTGTCAGCTCTTTTCACAGCAATTACGTGTATTTAGCTGCGTGCAAGACATGTCTAGAATTTTAATTTGATTTAAAATGGCTTTATAAGTGTAATTACACGTGTTATCTGAAGAATGACTCGAGGCTTCCTATTACTGCGTTTTTCAAGGTGACAACTCAATGTTGTAGCTTCATAATAGCATAAATAGCAGTTTTTATCTTGCGCTGCCCACCGTAGGTGCACGGAAAGCTGCTTGTGCCTTTGTCTTCCTTCCCTACTAAAATGATTCAGAACTAATTTACATGCAAATTTTGTCTTGCTTATTGGCAAAGAGGAACAAAAGCATGCTTTTCAGACAACCCGGGATTCAGGATATGTCTTATCTTCGTTATCCTGTTCAATAAATTTAAAGAATAAATTATTATGTACATGTTGTTATGTTAACTTCTAAAACTCGACCCGCCATGAAAATTTAATCTTTGGAATTCTTGATCATCTTTTTACGGACAAGAAATGCTCGTCTGTACTTTCCAACTAACATTTGCAGGCGATTGACTATTAATTATATTTTTTTTTATAATAGGCTAAAAGTCTTTGTATTCTGTCAAATTTAATTTTCTTTTAAGCGCAACTTTTTCTAAAGTCCCAATTTAAATTTGACTCAATGATGTGCGGTATTTCTCAGGTGTCTTTGTTTATAGTGCGAAAGAGCGTGTGATTTAGATAAAAGAGTTTGCTCCATTTTTACGGAAGTGCAAATCATGCTCAGCTAATTCTAAGTGACTTCTACAGCAAACATTGGATTATCCCCTCCTGAAGTTCTTTTTTCCTTAATAATGGGACTTAATTAAATCTTTTGTGAGTTCGCGGTAAATGTCATTTTCAACGAGCGGTAAACTTAATAAATGGTGCTTCTCGTGAGAATTACTCAGATCCATGCTGAAATAGACATACAGAAAAAATAAAATTGGACGCTTGTCAAGCAAAAGCGTCTTATTATCCATGAGTAACCCCATCTTTCATAAAAGTTGAATGAATAAACTTATCTCCTGCATTACAAATACAACCCTTACTTATAAATACAACTAGTCCCTTTCCTCTCGAACTGTTGTGTTACAAGGATCCGGCGTGCTGCGCTGTTTTATCGACAACTCATCCGTTATGTACAACCAAACGCCATCGCTTCTGTCGGACTTCAGTTCCCATAATATTCAACAATTAGTGGTACACTGTTCATTGCTATAGATAGTTGTGGGTGTTGTATTCGCTCGGCTTTCGCATCTTGCTTTTCCATCCTTGCAAATCAAACGGGGTAATAGTTCTTTGAAGTCTCTTTTTCTAAAAATGTACATAAGGGGGTTTAAAAACGAAGTAAAATATCGAGGGTAGTAATAAAACACATACAGCACCCATGCTGGTGGATCAAATGTTTGCTGGGCGTTCAGCTCCTGAAAACTCAAAATAAAATATGGCAGCCAACAGACGGTAAATATGACAAGCATCGCCAGGAAAATGGTGACAGTTTTGCGCTGTGCATAGTTATGCGATTCTTCTTTTCCTTTGGCGGAAAAATGCTGATCAGAAGGGCTGTGAAATCGCCATATCCGTTTCTCGTGGTACCGAACCGTACTGAAAATGCGAATGTATATATAGGCCATCACCAACAGTGGTATCACAAAAAATAGCACAAAAGTAGCGAGGTCATAAGTTTTCTGAAATTTTTCGGCGGTTTCGGCTGCTTCCTCGCTCCGACCTACCTGCCAAGATAGTTGTATCAGAGAAACAAACGCAGCCATAAACCACGCCAAGCTTATGAGCGCGAAGAACGCGCGCCGTGTTACGATGTTATGATAGCGCATGGCGTGCGTTATGGCGATGTAGCGGTCCACAGACACCAGTAGAATATGCACTACGGTAGAGACAGAAATGAATCGCCATGTTAGATTTGAGATAGCACAGGTTGTGAAGCTGTGAGTAGCTGAACAATAAAGTGTAGCAGGAATTCCACACAATCCTGCGAGTAGGTCACTGCCAGCTAGGCTCACAAGAAATGAGTTGGTGACAGACCGGAGTGTGCGATGGCGAATGAATAAAATTATGACAGTTAAGTTGACGGCGATGATAAATATGGCCAGAACGATTGGAAACGTGTCGAATTCCGCATCGAAAGCTCCGATTTCTTCGTCTCCATAATTTTCACCGCTACCTGATTCGGAATCATTGGGGGTGTTATTGTTTGATCTGGGTCCTTCTGTCATCTTTTCGTTCGTTATAGTGCCCGTCTTTTTCTCAAATCTAAAACACGGTTGCTTGGCAGTCAGCAGCTAGCAGTAACTTTTGGCGATATCGGCAAGCTAAGTGATAGTTCTGAAATTTCAACCAGTTGTGTATTGTGATATTATTCCAGGTTTCGTTCTCACCTCTTTGCTTCCTTTGTTTGTGTATCATCCGCTTGATGAAAGTCCCGGAAAGATTAAAACATTTTAAGAAATATTAGTGTTATTACCATGTAGATTTTGAGACCCAACAGAGTTTCCCTTCTCTTTTGTTTGATTTCTGTATCGAAAGCGAGCAATGATCCCTGCCTAGACAAGTTTCACTGCTTCATACTGAGTTGCAAGGTTTGAATTGCTACCTGTCGTTGGGTATGTCAAGAGCATGTAACAGATACCTTCCACTCGAGAGTCACTTGGGCTTTTTAACTGATCCCAGCAGCTGAGTTGTGTCTGACAGCACGAGTTATTATAACAAATTGACGACATTCTAATAAGAAAAAAATCTACGATGTTTTCTCGCCTAACGTTTGGTTTAGAAATGGCCATATTTTTCCAATTATGTTTATTTTTAAGTCAGCCACTCAAAGCCGCGAGTAATTAAAACGGGCGAGGTTTTCCTGAGTGGAATTCAACTTCATTAATTCAATCATTTTGATAGTTTTTAGGATGCTGAAGTTTTAGTTTTTTTTTCTAGCCTCATAATTGCTACATTACCAATATTCCTATTTGCAATTCAGCCATATTTTCAATCTGTTAAAATCCGGGATTCACAGTGATTTTTCTTCCTTTTTGACTTTTGATAACTACGTCTTGTTGTAATCTGGGGTAACATCTGTTTTACGTATTCAGTCGTCCTCTAAACTCGAATCGATCAGTTCTGCATTTTCACTTATTTTATTACGTTTGTCAAAATATTCTTTCGTGATCGATATTGCAGTCCAATATCTATTTCCTTCTTGAGTCGATTAAAAGAATTCCTTGATCACGTTTTTAAACTTTGCTATGTTCATAAGGAATATGATATTCGCTTTGATTATTCTTAATAAAACTGCGTTAGCTTGCTGTGTTTTCCTACCTGTCTTTTTGACCGGTTTTCCCTCAGAAACGCGCGCAGCTGCTATGTCAATATTCTGGGCGAACACAAAACCTCTTCGGTTGTTAAATTTGTATAAGGGTAACCCTGCAAATGGATCAGAGTATGGAAAGTAAATAACAACTTGAATGAAACTGCAGAAAGTCGCTCACGTAATCGTGTCAATCGTTAAGTGTAAATTCAGGAAGATATTATCAAATGAATGCTAACCGCGCAGGATAACCGCTACTAGCAATGATTGAAGCTACTGGCCTTATAATGGTCTGTAAACATATCTTGTAAGGTTTGTCAGCTGAATTATCTGGTTATTGTGGCCTAACAGCAGAGAATATTGAAATGAGCTGTGCATTTGTGAGAAGTTTACGTGGGAGGAGGATGCATTTTAATTTGGCAATGTGAAATGCTCTCTTGAGTAAAGTTCCTATTCAACAAAAGAGTAATTTTTGGAGTCCTCTGTTGAGATCCACGGCTCCCAAGGGCTGAAATTTATCAATATTTCAAAGGGGCTCGGAAATAACCGTGAAATGGAATTGTCATTAACAAAAGAGATAGGATTGTAGAGGTTCAAGGGGAGTAGAGTGTCATTACCTCGGTGTGCATTAGTTTACGAGGGCGAACTAAAACATAATTATCACTCTAAGTAATAAAATGACAAAAGGCATTGAAAATGAAAATATTTTGAGACAAACGAGTCTTTTTCTTATCAATCAAACGTACTCATTATAAGAAATCTCCTGTCATCGGTGTTAACGTTTTTCAAAATACAAAAGAGAAACCTAAATAATTGAATTGAAGGAAACATTCTAAGCTTTTTTTCCTCCATTTGCTTGAAAAAAAAGGGTGTGGATTGTTTGTGGGCTGATATCGGCTTTTTTTTTTCGGGGGGGGGGGGGGGAAGAAAGGGAGGGATAGAGGCAAGAAACAAGAAATTGAAGTGAGGGAACTTTTTTGTTTCGGAATTAGAGAATATTTTTTTAACCGAACTTTTGATAGTATATCGTTCTGCTTGGCGCTTTTCGGAAATGTCTGATTCAGTAGTTCGATAGGCGTGGTTAAGATAAACAAATATAATCTTTAGCACAGACTAGAAGTATTAAACCCTCGGCCAGCCTTCTCCCCTCCCCTTTTGTTTAATGTTACTTCCCACTTTCAGAGGCCGAAAAATCGTTTTTTCTTTTATTTGATTAGAGTGAATTCAAACATTTTACCTAACGTCTCCATAAAAAAATTCTGAGATCTTTAAAAGCACCCGAGTTATTTAGAAAAACTTATTTTCAAACAAAAGTTACTATATCAGGAAGGTGTCATAGTCTCGTACAGAGGCGAATTTCTTGGCGGAATTTTCGCGGCAACCGCTCATTTTGGGCCTCGTTTTTCATGTTATTTGCATATTTTGTTTACATCACGCTCTCGGCAAAATTCACTCGTGGAAGCTCTTTGCTTAAGGAAAAATCTTTGCTCATGGGAGAATCAAAAGCGGAGGAAAGTACTTGTTAAAAAAAAACAAAAAAAAAAAAAAAAAAAAAAAAAGGTCCAAAGGAGAAAGAAAGAAAGAGAATAATCTGTCAAGAAAAGGAAAAAATCCTTTGTGAAAGCGACTGGTACTGGCGGAGCTCCATGCTAGCGTCCAGATTTCGAACAAAGGAGTCGCCGTCAAACCAAAAATTGTTATGCATAAAATTAAAAAGGAGGTTTCCTTTCATTTTTACAAGTACTAGCCATGATACAAAATCATCAACAATCGCCTCAAACCGTAATTTGGACTGTCGATTCGTTGTCTTGCTTCTCAGCACATTTTCCGTTTTTTCCATTTTGCCGCGGGGTTTTCCTTTGCCTTTGGCAACTTTGCCTATTATTGTGTCGTCCTTCTCAACGCTCCACTGAACGATCGAGATTAAGGGAAAACGTGTCTGCAATGGGCTACATTGACGCCAGGAGGTCCCGTTTTCCCATTGGTTTGCGGTTTCAGGAGGCGTGATAATCTGTTGGCGTGACGCGAGACGAACCTTATGAGTCCTTATGAGCTAAACTCTCGCATTTGACTTTGGACGAATACATTCACCGTGAGCGAATTTAAAGGGTATATAGATGTGACCGATTTTCGTCAAATTTCGCCAAAACATTCCAGGAATAAAGAAAAACGAAATTTGTTTAGGGAAATTTCGATATTTGAAATATTTGTCCGTGGCGTCCATTTACGAAACACGCCTCGCATCTTTTTAGCTACTCCAGAATGTTGAAAAGTACTGACACCTTTTTTGTTGATCGATGCCTTGTGAATGAGACTGTGCAGCCATTTTTCTTGTGCTGCGGCATCCGATACCCGATAAATTCAATGGAAGAATCCACGGTCGTTTCACGCCTTACGGGCTCCTGACACTTCCTAAAAACACTCGTTTAAATTATATTTTTATCGTAAACTGCAGTTATTAAGCTTTCTTCTGATATATAGTTCGCTACGATTTAAGTGAAACTAGCGCGCGTACAAATTTTTCCCGAAGGACACCCGCGAAGGTGGTAAGTAACATCAGACGCCTCACGGAAACAGACACCTGCCCATTTTGTCTAGAACGAATGATAATTTGGCTTTGTTACCGGCCCCCATTGACATACTAATGGCGACTTAAATGTTTTTCACTTGTTCGATTGCCTTAAGCTCTTTCAGACTCCCAGAGCTTAGATCAATTTGTCGTATAGCATATCCAGAAATTGTTTATTTTTTTTAGCTGCGATGCTTCTACGCGGGAAGGTTTATTTTGTTAGTTTTCTCTTGTGGTTGTTCCAGACGGTCTCCCAATAATTATAGTATTAGACTTAGGAAGTGATGTGTCCAAAGTTTTGTTATGCTGTCATTTACGATTATTGTACCCTTGAATCAGACACAATCGTAGAAACGCGACTGTTTACTCTTCTCGTCAATATTAAATTCACAAGTTTACGGGAAAGTGATATATACCGACTGAAGTTGCCTCAGGTTTGAATATCCAAGTCTATACAGTTTATTCATGAAGACAATTTTGTCGGCTGTCATTCCTTCAGGTTAACCGTTTTGCAGTCGCACATGTGAAACATAAACTGTTTTCAAATGATTTCAGAAAAGAGCTTCCAACAGTGATGAGCTTTATTTCACAGATAGGCATCACGTAAGAAAAAATCTCTGATATTTGAAAGGTCGGCAGCTGGAAACGTTCGTGATATCGAGAGAGTCGGAATATCGAAAGTGCTGGTTATTGTTGTCGTTTCAGTATTTTGTTTTATAGTGAGTTTCATGGGTCTCTTTATATGGAAGGTCAATTTTAATGTAATTTTACTTTTACTTTTTTCATGATATCGCGAGTTTATAATCCAACTGCACAAAGTAGACTACAAATATCCTGTGATATTGTGCGATTATTTGGACAGTTGGTTCTTTTGTGCTATGAAAAAGAACCTCTTTAACCAGGTGTCGCCAGAGGCTCTTTCTATTGTTGTGTTATTGATAAGAAAAGGCGCACGAGAAAATATGAAGAGCCTTAGAAGTTGTAGAGAGCCGTACAAAGGATACACCCTTGAAAATCAAGTGGCGGCTTGAAGATGAAAATGTTTTCTTATTCTCTAGACAAGGCTGCAAGTGCAGAAAGAAAGTTTTGGAGTGGTTCTTTTGAGTGCAACCCAAAATTGTTGCCTAAAACGTGTCTTCCTTTTTTGATGATTGAATTTTCATACAAATTGCAGTATGCAACTTCAGCCCCAAAAGCTTAAAATTCCAAACGTTTTGACAACTGTTACTTATATTGATAGTTCGCTTTTGTTACCCTCAAAGTTGCTAAAAGAGATCGTCCCTACATCGGAGTCCTCGATGCTACTGCAGCTTTTTTGTAGTTTGTAAGGAGAAAACCCTGAAAGGCATCTGGCTTACTTTTCCAGGTATGGTTTAGTTACCTACCTCATCAATTCTCAGGTGAAACGCTTTCTTCCATCTCCGGCGAGCGCTTTCTATTTGTATAGAAGGAACTTTTATTATTGTCACGATTTTTTACGTTTCAGACCTTTGTTTTGAGCTATTTTTAAATCAACAGTTGCTTTAAATATTCCTTTTAATTGCTTTTTTCTCATTCGTAATTGATGTAGAAACTGTCTAATGCAGTTTACAAAAGGCTTCTTATTTGTCCATCATACTTTTGTTTGTACGAAAGTCCTTTGTTTCGTTATTGTCGGCATATAAAGACGTCAAATTATCATGAAAGGTTGGACCTTTTAACTGCGTCATACTTACAAAACAGATTGCGATGACACAGAGGCAATACAGCGAACGAAAAAACTACAATTTTTATTGTCAGGGTAATATGTCATGGAACGAACCTCTTTCATTAAAGAAGCAGAGAAAAATTCACGATGTTGACAGGCAATGAAAAGAAAAATGCAAGCTAATCTGGGGCTAAGAGCTGGAGTAAGCCGGCAACACTAGTCCAAGATTCGTTAAGTTCTGTGTAATTTTTTGTTGGAAATGATATATGCAAATCTTTAAGTTTACCAGGCGAAGAGATTGTTTTGTGTTTGGGTGTCAGTTTCTTCTGAATTTAATGATTTATAGTAATGATAATTATCGCCGGTACTGTTTCGTGCATGGATTTCTCTTCTACATCACAATGCCCAAACTGATGATAATGTTCATTGCGCTAGAGTCCTAACTATTTCAACATTCTGAAAAGAGTTTATTTACTCTTCGTTAACTAGACGTAAAGCATGTCAGTCTTGTTGGTCGGCCTACTTTTTTCCCATAACATGTAGCATTTTGTAAGATCTTATCATGCTAGAAGTTTTAGGTTTGCGACCGTAATTTGTTAGCTCATGAACTGCGTGCTATTACGCTTTATTTGTGACGAATAAAAAGTTAACGAAATAGCTCTATTTTTTATTTAATATTGAGTAAGATTTTATTGACAGGAGTCAACTTGTTTCTAAAGGTTTTTTGTTCTGCTTTTCTTTTAAAGTTAGCACTGAATCGATCATACTTTTTATTACCGACGGTTGAAGTAACTATATTTTAAACAAAAAGCATTAACTTTATTCTTGGTAGAGGAAAGACATGTTGCATTGATAATCTCGATTGTAACTACCTATTTGATAGTATTATAACTCTTTTTCTTAAAAGGAGGCGAGGTTGTAAGGAATTTGATGAATTTTTTTTTCATGAGAAAAACACACAATTTTGCCTTCTTTGTAGTTTTCATAGAATTTCTGCCCGCGAAATGTTAGGTGGTTTGCTTTTCGATTTAACGACAAACCCCCGTCATCTGATCCATTGTTTACGTTTGATGTTTGATATGTCGGTGTCTGCAAACTTACTTTGCAGCGTTTTTATCTCGACTTATGCACCACTGCCAACTTTTTGTATTCAGCAGAATTTTATCATCGGCGTTTAAAGATTTTCATGTGTCAGAGAAGTCCCTTAATGACTTTTTTTTTTCATAAAACTGTGATTTGTCCTTTCGCCGAAATGAAATTTGAATCTCTAATGTTCTTTGGTAGAAGCATTTCCGGTTCGTTTGACAAGAAGCTCTTAGGCCTTTTTCTCACTCGAATCATCCTGTGATCCACCTCATGAATATCTTCAGTGGTTGGGATTCTCATGCACTTGAAAAAAAAAAAGCTTGGCTTACCATTTGATTTCAAATTGGTAGCACGTCATGGTTACTTCGTTTGGCATGATTTGTTCCATAATTTGTCTGGTTTGAGAACTTTCCGTAGTATTCTTTTGACAAGTTTGCGCAGAAAAGTGTGTTTTGGCGAAATATCATATCACGTCGAAGTCCATTTTTTTCGTTGGCCGTATTAGACAAATGCATTGCTGGTGGTAACTGATGAAAGTATGATATGAATCATGGCACCTGTTAGAATAAATCTACTACAATAAAACGAATTTAATGGGACAAGGAAGATCCCAAGTAATCCATGCTGTAGGATACGAACCTCACTGAGCTAGTCCTCACTACGCGCACCAGTGCTCTACCAACTAGCAACTAAGCTGCAGAAAACCCCTTGCGAGTGCAACCGAAGCCAACCTCAAGTTTACTACGTTGAGTGAAGGCGTTAAATCTTGTCATAGAAAGAATAATTTTTACCTGAAATACAACGGCATAACTAAATTCCAATATCTTTTGCACAGTGATGTCAGGAACATGTACAAAAAAGACGCTCTTTCTTAAGGCTGTTGGTAACTTCAACTTTGTTAATTGCAGTCTACGGCCAGCACTGACAGACTTACTGCATAGTCTATGCGAGTGAATTATCAAAATTAAAAGTGTTTATTCTCGTTTATGGCGGCCTGCCAACATTAGAAAACAGACAACAATGGAACCCATCTTGGACAGTTTCTGTCTGTCTGTCTGTCTGTCTGTCTCTCTCTCTTTCTCTCTCTCTCTCTCTCTCTCTTTCTCTCTCTCTCTCTCTTTCATAGTCCATTTAGCGCGAATGCAGTGCGCTTCAAAAGGAAATGAAATCGAACTATGGAATAATTATGATATCAACTCAAACGAATCTGAACCAGGCTCAAGGAAGTCAACGTGGTTTAATCAATTGAATTGATGATGTAAATTGGCCACCGTAGAGATTTCACAACTAAAGCTGGCGTTTCTAGCGTCAGCCCTTTGTCAGATCGAATTAGACGAATTCACCCTTGTCTTCTGACCCTTACCAACGCAGTACCACAGTTTCTTTGGAAACCTTCCCCCGTTAGGTCTAGTTACAGTTTTATGGTGTTGTCGTTGTCGTTGTCAAGTGAAAAGTGTCAAATAGTTTTCGCTTTTGTAAGCATGTTTGCTCTTGGACACCAATGTCACGAACTTTGTTCAAATTCTATCAAAATTTTGTTCTCGCTTGTCGGTCCTACGTGCCCCTCTGTTTAATATTGGACTGCTTTACCTGTGAATTTTAAGAAAATATTATCTTTACTGCAGTTTTTTAAATCTGCCCTAATGAAAAGACGATCGGATTATCAGGCTTTCAATAATTGATTGTTTTTATATATATATATATATATATATATATGTGATAATTTGATGTATTTTAGTTTCTTTCGATGAAAAGCTCTGCTTGTAAATAATTTTTTTTCTGTTATAAGCGTGGGTTAATCCTCAAAAACCTCCAAGTGTTCGAGGTGGCTGATTAAACTTAGCCGCTGATATTAATTATTTGTACCTAATGCAACCGGCATCGTTTCAGTCAGTCTTCTGAACGAAGATTTTACAAGCAGTTGTCTTTATCGACGTTATTCTTCAGGAGCCAGCGAGACCTAAATCACTTTAAAATTTTTTTCCCCTCAGAAAACTTCGTCAAGAATTCCAGTACTGGTACCCAGTAGACTTACGTGTGTCTGGGAAAGATCTGGTGCCAAATCACTTGACATTCTTCCTGTACAATCACTGCGCTGTGTGGCCAAACGAGAAAGACAAGTGAGCATATTCAGAAAGATGAGATTTTCTGTGTTGTACTGTTTTAGTTGATAAACAATAAGCTCATCTGAAAAAGTTGGTGGACATTTTCTTCGATGAAACAGAATCGCATTCTTCAGTAAGAACTGACCAATTATAATCACAGTTTAAGTGCAAATAAGGTCATTGCATAAAAGAAGTCTGAAAAATTCATCAATCAATGAGATCGCGTCTTGGAACTTTTTTTGCTTTTATCTATTACTGATTCCCATCAGGACGACAGTACCAAGGCACAACCTTTAAAATTTTGGCTTTAGTCTGAAGCCCATGATATGGTATGATATGAAAGGAAAATGAGTTAAACAAGGCATCAAACGACGCCAGGTAAGCAGGAATGTTCAAAACTACCCGCTTAGAATTTACTAAATGTTTCTTTTTTTATGTTTAATTTTTCAAAGGTGGCCTCGAAGCGTGAGGGCCAATGGACACTTGTTACTCAACTCTGAGAAGGTATTGTGTAAAGGATTGTTTAATTCTCTCTAAATGTTTGGATTATTTTACAGCATCGTGAATGTGTATCATTCAGCTGTGTAAGTTGTCGTCAGTTTTATGTTAAAATAGATGTCGACGGGTGATATCTCATTTGTATGATTTTGATTTCTAGATGTCGAAATCGACTGGAAACTTTCTTACTCTGAAAGAAGCTGTTGAAAAGTTTTCCGCTGATGGTTAGTTTCACCCTCCCCTGTCTTCCCTCTTTTTATGTCATTTGTCGTCCAGTCTCTTGCCACCTTCTCTCGTCCATCCTTTAAGCCAACTTCCGTTCCCCCGACATTTTTCCCGTTTTAGGCATGCGCCTGGCCCTGGCTGATGCTGGAGACACAATGGAAGATGCAAACTTTGTAGAGTTGATGGCTGATGCAGGAATCTTACGTCTGTTCACTTTCCTCGAGTGGACAAAGGTCAGGACAAATAATTCCTCATCGTGGATTGAGTTAAAAAATGTATCAGAGTAGATTCTTTACCAGGCTCTAATGCTCTGTTACGTTGTTGTGTGTAAACATTGAGGAAGTTCTGAGTAAGCAGTCAGCCATATTTTACAATAAAGAATCAGATAGCAAATTCCATCCCCTCTAAAGACCTAATCCTTTTAGGACCTTTTAGTGAATTGGCACAACATTGGCTATTTTCAGAAGTAATCTGAAAATAGTCTGAAGTCCAGCACAAGACATCCAGTCGCTTAAATATATCTCCTCGCTATTTCGAGTGTTAAATCCCGACGTACTCTTTAAACACAGGAGATGCTTGCCAGCAAAGATTCTCTGCGCAAGGGGCCTGCAACATGTTACGATGATCGAGTGTTTGAAAGGTAACTTTGGTGATAATTCGTGTAAATATCGTTTTTATTGATCCGGCTTGCGACTTTTGACGTGTTTAGAAGCTCTACTAATGAGAGGCAACTGATAACTTAAATTGTAGCTCCATCAACAAAGCTATAGAAGATTCTGATACAAACTATAAGAACATGATGTACAGAGAGGCACTCAAAACGGGCTTCTATGAACTGCAGGCAGCAAGGGACCGATACCGGGAGGGCTGTACGATGGGCATGCATAAAGACCTTGTGTTTCGGTTCATCGAGGTAATGTGCTGTGCGAAGGTTGTTTTTTAACGTAGTTCCAAGTTGATTGGTGTTGAATGAAACTGTGAGACAGTTTCTCGTTAGGTGTGTTCTTGTCGTTTTTTTTTTATCATTGCCGTTCTCTGAAGATCCCCTTGGGGAGATCTGGGTTCCAGTATTTTAAGCCCCAGCAGTTTCTTGAAGATCCTATTTCGGTTATATGCATACTGTATCCGTTTCCCACCAAACATTCAACAAGAAATTTTCAAGGTATATGTGATTTTCCTTTCCCAGTTAAGTTACTCTGAGTGTAGTGATAACATAAGCAAGGTAACCTCCTGAAAACTGCTTTCAATAGGGACTGCGTCAGAAAAGCTGCACTTTTCTAGGCTTCTCACGGCTGTAACCTGATTTCTTTATCTGTTTGTGTTGTTAGGTTCAAACCCTGTTGCTGTGTCCCATCTGCCCACATCTTGCCGAGCATCTCTGGGAACTCATCGGCAAGGTGCGCTATGGAAAAAAATTGGAGAAAGTACTTCGCTCCATTTATATTTTTGATTCCTATAAAGTCAAGCTATTATTTCTTTTCCGTGTGAGGGCAGAAGCATATAAGATTATATGCTGCTGTTGGAAAGCTATAATCCCCTTATAGAGGTTAAAATAGTTAGATAAATTGTTATAGTGCATTTTAGACCTGATTTTTTGTTAAACCAGACGAAAAAGCGATTCAGGGTCCTTGGGTATAGCCTGGCGTGTGGCCTCGTGTGTACCTTCGTGTTTGGCACTCTTACAAAACGACAGACCTATCAGGCTAAAACAACGCACCGATAAACTTGTTTGTTTTCTTACGCGAGGAATTATTTAATAATGTTTGATATATAATATTCGGTGATGATGAACAATTGTGACAAATTTCAAAACTGAGCACGGTTTCTTATTCTTTTATTGGCAGACCGGTAGTATTATGGATGCATCATGGCCGGCAGTTGGAAAGGTGGATATGCCGTTGCTGAAGTCAGCGGACTACTTAGCTGATCGCACTCACGAGTTCCGTTTGAGAATTAAAACCATGATGAACCCAAAGGGAAAAAAGGTGCTATCCTATAATACTTTCTTGTGTATGTGCATGACAAACACCCCTTTCCTTCGCCGCCTCTTTCCCCCCTCCCCCCTCCCCCGAGACAAACTGCACAGGGCAGTTTTCATTTGAATTTTAGAAGGAATTGGACATTGCGCTCTCTTATTAGTCTCCAAAATATAAATGGGGAGTCATATTCAAATAACGTGAAATTTTTCTGACAGTCCACCTTTCACGTTTAGGTTAAATTATTGGGTCACTGAAATTTACACGTAGCATATTGTTACAGGCACAGAGTTAGTTCGTTAGTGGAAATAACAGGGTTACGAGAACAATTTTCATCCCATTTTCTGAACAAGGAAAATCTATGCTGAAAACGTGCTCAAAGTCGACCCAGCGCAAAGCCGGAAAGGAGTGTCATCTATTAGTGCCTGTCAGGAACATGTAACTTCTTATAGAGTGGAACAGTAACTGTCAATCACAATAACTCGATAGACAAACATAGTTTACATCTAAAAACTGCTAGGGCTTAAAAAACTAGTCACCCAGATCGATCTCCTCATATGCACTTTAAATCGCATATTAGACAAAGATTCTGAAAGACGACAACTGAAGCGAAATTGAAATGTACCACCTACAGCTGATGGTGAACTTATTCCCAATTTTCGTAAACAAAACCCTTCTTACAACGTGTAAGCTTTTCCGTCAAAGAAGACTGTAAATAGTAAATCTAAAATGTTGATCAGGTTTTTTAAGAACTCCATGTGAAAAATATTCCAATTTATTTCGTCCAAACTTGTACTCGCGTGGATTAGTGAACATGTATAAAAACCCAAATTTTTTCCATGTTAACTTGTGTTTCTGGTGAAGTATAATCCTAACATAGACTGCACAATGAGAGGTGCAAAGATGTTACGCTCGTTACACGTAGACCATATTAGAACTTCCGCATGGTTTTATTTTTAACAGAAAGATGCAGCTCCACCCAAGAAACCCACTCATGGTATAATCTACGTGGCCAGCTCTTATCCACCTTGGCAGCATGTCACCCTTACCACACTGAAGGAAATGTACGTCAAGCTGGGGGGGAACTTCCCGGATAACAGGGATATTATGAATCGGATGAAAGAACTACCGGAAGTCAAGAGCGCCATGAAGAAGCTGATGCCATTTGTACAACATGTCAAGGTACTTGAAGTAAATCTTGACTTCTGCATTCTACATAGTTCATTACTAACCTCGTCTGCTATCTGAAGCAGTTCAGGAAAAAATGAAATAAAAATAAAAATGAACAATTATTAACTGTTTCATTATATTAAAAAGAACTCGAATCTTACACTGCACATTCTCCTTTTTTTTAATTTGGCACCTCTCTTTTCTATTAATCCCTGTACTTACTCGCAGATACTCAGAACGATCTCTTAACTTCGTTACTATTTCCATGTCGTTTATCTTCCTTTGAGTTTTCATTACAAGATTAATAACGTGACATTATTGTGTGACAGGAATGTGTAGAACGTGACGGTCCGTCGGCCTTGGAGACAACTCTACCGTTTGATGAAAGACAAGTTCTTGAGGAGAACAACGCATTTCTTTCAAAAGCTCTCGAAGTAAGATTTAATTTGATGTGTAAAATATCGTTGCAAAACTTTCCTTGTAGTTAAGTTACATTTTTCTTTTTTTTTGTGCTAAATTCAGTCGAATCATGATCATCAACAGTTTTCCCATGGGTACAGGAGGGGAGGGGAGGGGTGTGTCCTTAACTTTATATTGGAATTTCAAGGCAATCCATGATGTTTTATGATAAATCATCAACTTTCTCATCACGGAGAAAGTCCCATGTACCCCAGCGATTCCCCCCTCTCCAGCCACGCTCTTGATTACCCTTATTTAGTTGAAAGCTTTTAATTAACATGTGGTGAAGCTTTGGAGCTAAGTCTTGAGTTTGATTTTAGCTGGTTAGTGTGGAAATCAAGCCATCAAGTGAAGCTGACAAAAGAGTTCAGGAGGACTGTGCACCAGGAAAACCATTCTCGGTCTTCACAGCACAGGAGAGTCAGGTTTGTTTTTTGTGATTTCATGTGACATGCAATTTGGGTGACAAAGAAACAGACTTAGTCCGGACTACGGTAACGTCGTGGTGTTAGTGAAAGATAGGAATAACCTCAAGTCACAAGGTCACTTTTAAAACCTCAACTGAATGAGCTATCAATGTAAAAAATGTGTGACGGCGCTGTCTCATTGGAGAGAATCTTTCATTAGATACAGCAATTGCCCAAAATGTGACGAGCGGAGTATTTTTTTTTAATTTGGATGATTTCGAAATTTTAAGTTTTTGGCTAATTTTATTTCTTATTTTTGTGATGAAGGAAAATGAAAGTTTAGACTAAGTCAGTGTTCAGCTCCAGTTGATATAGGGAATGTCCGTTACTTCCTTTATCACTGTGAAAGTAGCAGAACTAAAACCGTTTTACAGATTGTTTCACACAGTTGTCGCTTGATGCAAGAAGAGGTTGGTCTGGCAAGGGTGAAATGAGCTCCAATACATTGATAAAGGTTTTTGGTCAGATCGTATATCGCCTCACGCGCAACGTAACAGAACACTACAACCCAGAAGAACCTGAATTCACGACAGAGTCTTTTGGCTACGACCCACTGCTAAGCACAGGTAGAGAATGGAATTATGAACCTGTTGATGAACTGATATACCAAGAGTACAGCGACAGAGAAGCCACAAACTCGAACTTTTTCGCATATAACAACATTAATGTCCAGGTTAGAAACGCTTTCTTACCAGAAGACAGTGAGGAGACAAGGGAACAGAACGGTAAAGATGAAGAAATGGCTCGGAAACGTCTTCGACCATCCTTTGTACAGACAGTTTGTAAATCGATGTATATTGGAGCTTTGATTTCTTTTCTTTCGGCTGTTTTCATCGCCTTATTTTACCTGTTGATCTCTTTTGTATGTTACAAAACTATTCTCCACTGTCAAAACTACCCAAAAGAATTGATTCCGATCCGTGTACAATGGATGAAAACTATTTCTGATGCGATTTCGTCTTTTTTCTATTACTTCTGGTTCTTTGGTATCGCGTTATTCCTTTTCCGTCCATTTCAGTTGAAAGGAGTGAGGAAAACATTGTTCTTGATTTTGTTTGTCTCGTACTGTTTGGACGCGAGTTATCGCCTTGTATTGGTTAAGGTGGGAGTGTGGTATTATTTGGCACCAAAAGTCTACCAAACTCCACTTTATTCGTTTTTCTTTCTAAGCGTTTGCTTACAGCTTTATGTTTTGGGAAAACAATTTCGTGCACGATCTATGAAAATGCTTCTTGTTCTGATGTGTAAAATGTTCTTGCCATTTTGTTTACCTGTTGTTTTCGGTATTTTCCTTTCTGATGTTATTTATGGAATATACATAACAAAATCCATCGAAGGAAAGCTTCTAATTGCTCTCTTTGCCCCTGTTGTTGCGGTGGTTTTGAAAATTGTGTCACGACTTTGTGTTCAGCGATTAAGGAACATCACTCATCCGGGATACTCTTATGTGTTATTGGTGCCTCTGTATTACGGCACAGCGGTTGTCTTGAGAGCTTTGCAAGCAGATCTGGACAATCTTCCATACATCGCCTTACTTGGAGTCATTCACGGTGTTGCTGAGGTTGTGGAACGTAGTGTTATGGTTGTTGTTGATCACACTTGTACCGTGCTTTGGAAAAGAAAATTGGCCCCCTGGGGAAGTTTCCGTACTCCTCGCCGCGAAAGACTTATGGCTGATATCGCCATTATAAGCATGTTGTATGAATCTACTGCTGTAATATCTGTTAACGGATTGTTTTGCTTGTATCAATACGTCTACACAGAAAATGACTCTATCATAAACTTGCTCAAGACCTTCGCAGTTCACACTTCAGTTCAACTGGTAATTGAGTGGTTTTTTACCAGTGTGTCTCTGGCGATCGAGACTCGTTATCAGAATATGGCTGTCATGGCTGTTTGGCGAAGAAGATGGAAAAGACACATTTTGGCAGCGCTTGTAAATACAGTACCACTTGCTGTATGGAATAGTGTCTGTATGTTAATTATTTTGCGCGCGTCTTACTCAAACATAGGGGTTAAACAGCCTTGTAAAATGCCATTTTCTTAAGTGCTGACTAGAACAAATTTACAGAAATTGTTAATGATCGCCTTGTTACACATTTCTTTAGTGGGACCAAAAAGGACTGTCGCTAATTCTTCTCATATAACAAGAGCAACATTGAAGAGAAGGAAGATATTACACTCACACGAACGAAACTGAAATGAATCAGTAAAGTGAACTTTACTAATTAAGTTTTTTAGTCGCTCAGTCGATAGCTCATTAGGATTAAATGCTCAAAATGCATGTGTGAGTGTGTAAAGTAGTAGGACCAATAAAGGGAATTATCTCATGGTTAAAATTCTGGTGGCCATTAACATCGAGAAGATTTTTTATGTTATTAGTTAGTGTATTTTCAAAACCAATAAATCAGTAAATCGTCGATTTTTAAATCGTCTTTAAAACAAAACATAATATACTTCTGAATAACAGGGTGAGTTTCTATAGAAACTGGTGCTGCGTCGGTGGGAGAGTATATCAGGGTAATTTAGTATTACCAACTGAGTTGATAGCGTAAATTGGTCACAGTAAAGCTGACGTTTCGAGCGTTAGCCCTTCGTGAGAGTTAATTACGTTATCAATTCAGATGATAATTCTAATTTATCCTATAATATACTTCTGATAGATACAGAGATTCACAAAGACGATGGGCTTATCGAGGCGGTTGAGTGCTGAGCGCGCTGTACAGATGCTAATGTGCTGCTAAGAAGCACTCCAGGAAACGCAACCTTTTCTTTAGAAGTATCGAAATGACAACAGCTGAATCTTGGGAGCTTCAATTGAAAGGCAAATTCACGCAAGGGAATTTTCAAACTAATGAAACGGAACTAAACTCTGGACTGTGTGATGTAAAATTATACTTTCTTTTTTTTTCTCCACTACACAACTGTTATTTGAACTTCAAGTTCCTTTGATAGGATGAAAGAATCTTGGAGAAACCAAACCAAGGATAATTAAAAACGAATCGGCATATTCCTTTTCTGATACACAAATACCGAGGAATCCTTCTCTTTATCATTTTCTTCAGGTTTTTAATGTTTTTTTCTTTGATGAACTTCTGATTTGAGCTAATGAGATGTTAACGCTAGTCAAAGAAGTGTCTGAAGTATGAAATTTCTTATCCGCCAAGAAATTGACGATACGGAAACAAATTAAGAACGAAAGTTATTTGATGTGCCTTTAATGGAAACGAAATGGTTTTGATGCTAGTAAGATAGAAATCCTTACTTTCCCATGGTACAATGGTTGTTTGTATGCATTGGGTGCAGTTTCAAGATCTCGCTTGCAATGGGCTAGAGCATACAAGAAAGGTCTTTAAGTGTCTTTGAAGTACACTATCTGTCTCTCTGTCTGTCTGCCTGCCCAACCGTCTCCATTTCCCGGTTTGTCTCTTTATCTGTTTTTTCTGTATTGCTGTCTTTGTCTGTATATCTGTTTGTCACTTATGTTGGTTATTCTTCTTCGCAGACAAATGGTGTATGTGGTTCTAGTGGCGCCGTAGAGTTAACAGATAAATCTCCCATCCCATCTGAGAAACAACCGTCCCCAGTTTGCCGATTTGTTAATGTCAAACTATGTGGAGTTGAACCGGCCCAAGGTGCCAAGGGAAATCAAGCCACAGTGCTGCTAGAGAACCCACAAGGACAGTACCTGTTGAACTTGGACCAACTCACACGCGAGGTTACTAAAAATTTAATACTCGTAAAGCGCCGGTGTTGTTACTTGAGTAGATACCAGTTTGCTTTCGTTGTGTATTTCGCTTTATTCGAGAAGAATAAGCGTGCATATGGTGCTGAGGCTTTGGATTTACGTTTCAGCTTTCTTTTAAGTTTCATGAACGTTGCTCAGTTTTCTTTGTGTGAGCAAATTAGCAGTTCGTTGGAGCAACTGTTGATAATATGTTACTGTTGATTTTCTTTTTTTTAGAAACAAGTTTGTCATCGCAGTTATGCATATATAGCATTTCAGCAGCAAGGTTCGTCTGAACGTGAGATGATTGTGTTATTTGATGTTTTTGATTCTTGCGGTTTTAGGTTGCGGCGGTTTTCGGTCTTAGAGGAAGAAAACTTACACTGTCGGCATCGGCCAGCTGTGATTCACGTGAGTAACTCAAGTTTTAAACTGAAAAGTAAAAGTTTTATCGTAGAGAAGAATGAAAACTTTTAGAGAATTTGTTCTTATCCCTCGACAATAGATGAAATGTGTAGCGCGGTGGTAAAAATGAAATTTAACAACCTGAAACTCTTCTTACTATTATTTACAGTATTGAGGGTTTCAGAGAAGAATTCGAATTGGGAAAGTCGAATGAAGCAGTGAAAATATTAAGTGTTAACTCATAGTGGTACTTGGGTGAAAAATGTTTTCAGTAAATTGCGGCTTTCGTCTGATCTTGTCTTACTGGCGATCTGCCATCTTGACCTTACAGGTTCACACTGACACGATATGTCGAAAGTGGTTCATTCAGAGCTCTAATTTTCTCGTATTTTTCAATGATTTTTGTTGACAGCCCTGACCAGTCAAGACGTCATGAAATACAGTGGACAGTGCCTTTACGCTTTTATTGCGAAGAATTAACACAATGAAAATGCGGCGGCGCATTATGGTGCCAAAATCAAGGTGCTTCTCAGCGAAGTAAAACGAATTTAAAATTCCATAGGAATGAACTTTTAATTTTAGATCACTTTGAGTATTACGGCCTAACTCCCTGTAAGTAGTTTCTATGGAGAATATAGGAAAGGAGCTTTCTCTCTCTTACACTTTTTCAGTCGATGTCTTCACACTTCCCCTCCCCGCTTTAGACAAATTACAATTGAAGTGGGATGGGAGGGGATCTTGGTGAAATTTTTCTGTTTAAATTGGCCTTAATATATTGAAATTCAAACTGATTCGAACTCTCTTTAACAATAATTACGAAATGGTTAAAGGGGAAATTAATTTACATTTCTGGCACTAGCCCTTTGAGAGGTTTGGGTTGTGCGTGTGGAGAAATACTTCTGTTGTAATGAATAGTGTGTTGTCGAAAAATACTCCTGTTGTGATGAGTTACGGAACGTCACGTGAGGTAGATATTCAGCTTGCATTTTAAGGGTAATTAAAAGAAAAGACGAAAATATGGTTGCAGTGCTTGATCTTGTTTTCCCTTCCACCTGTATTAGGCATTCGGTCAGTGAAGACGAACGAATAGCTGAGCGAGTGGAGTCGGCCGTCCGTCCCTCTTAGTTTCTCCCGGTTTTTTCAGTTTTTCTTCCGCTCGCCCGCTCTCCAACCCCCCTTTTTCATCATTCCCCAACACTGACTGTCTGGAACAGGCTTTGTTTGTCGTGGGCTCCCCCCTGTGCAGGCAATGAATACAATTCGACAGCTTCTGTTTTCGGGTAATAATCTACTTCACTGCGCAGGGGAAATCCCGTACAGTTTTGGTAAGACCATTATCTCTTGGTAATCTGTTCGAATTGTGATTACAACACCGTATCGCTTTGGAAGATGTTCATACGAAGATGAAATAGTAAGCAGTACACTTATAGAGGTGTTTGGTCAAGTCTGTTTCATTACGCGTGCAGTGGATCAGGTTCCTATAACCTTGAAGAACTTCCTCCGATCCGAGTTTGGATGTAGCACCGCCGATATTGCTGTGGAAGATATTGTTCATACAAAGGTAGGATGGCAACCAGTACCCTGATAGAGGTTTTTGGTCAGATCGTATATCGCCTCACGCGCAGCGTAACAGAACACTACAACCCAGAAGAACCTGAATTCACGACAGAGTCTTTTGGCTACGATCCACTGCTAAGCACAGGTAGAGAATGGTATAAAGAGCCTGTTGATGAACTGATATACCAAGAGTACAGCGACAGAGAGGCCACAAACTCGAACTTTTTCGCACATAACATTAATGTCCAGGTTATAAACGCGTTCTTACCAGAAGACAGTGGGGAGACAAGGGTAGATCAGAACGTTAAGGAGGAAGAAATGACTTGGAAACGTCTTCGTCCATCCTTTTCACAGACAGTTTGCAAATCGATGTGCTGTGGAGCGTTGATTTCGTTTCTTGCAGCTGTGTCAATTGCCATGGTTTACCTGCAGATCTCATATGTCAGTTATAAAACAATTCTTCAATGTCAGGATTACAATATCTCGTCAATTCCAATTCGTGTGCAGTGGATCAAAACGATTTCTGATGCGATATCCGTTAGTTTCTATTACTTCTGGATCTTTGTTACACTCCTGTTTCTTTTTCGTCCGTATCAGCTTAAAGGAATAAAGAAAAAGCTGATTCTGGTAAGCTTTGCAGCGTATTGTTTGGACATAAGTTATCGCTTTTCTCTTCAAGTTATTGGAAAGCCTTATTATGCGTCAGCCACTGAATTGCAGATTCCAATATATACTTTTCTCATCACCAGTATATGTTTGCAATTATATATTGTCGGGAGACAGTTCTGCCGGCGTCCAAGGCTGACAGGTTTATTGTGTAAAATGATAGTGCCATTTTGCTTGCCCCTTATTTCTGGAATGTTTATTTCGGATATTCTTTATAGAGCGTATCTCAAACAAGAAAACACAGGCAGGCTGATAATTGCATTATTTTCACCTCTCTTGGGGGTCGCCATAAAGGTAATATCAAGAATCTGTGTTCAACGATTATGGAACATTACTCATCCAGGTTACTCTTATGTGTTGTTGGCGCCTCTCTACTTCGGCACAGCGATTGTCTTTCGAGTTTTACAAGCAGATCTTGACCATCTCCAGACTATCGCCATTCTTGGAGTTATTCACGGAGCTGCAGAAGTCATTGAACGAAGCATCATGGCGTTGGTTGATCATGTTCTCCATGTGTTGTGGAAAAGGAAATTGGCTCCTTGGGGGAGTTTCCGCACACCTCGTCGCGAACGACTCATGGCTGATATCATCATCCTGAGTATGTTGTCTGAATCTGTTGCTGTGGTGTATGTAAACGGACTAAGATACTTGCATGATTTTGTATTCGTGGAAAACAACTCTATCATTTGGTTGCTCAAGACCTTTGCAGGTCACACGTCAGTTCAGTTAGCAATCGAGTGGTTTTTCACCAGTGTGTCTCTTGCGATTGAGACTCGTTATCAGAATGTGGCTGTGATAGCTGTTTGGCGACGAAGATGGAAAAGACACATGTTATTAGCGCTTGTACATACATTTCCAATCGCTGTATGGAATAGTTTTTGTCTTTTAAAGTTATTTCGCGCTCGTTATGAGGTAGTCCTTAACCAGCCCTGCAAGATGCCGTTTACTTGAAAACTATCTCGTACAAATCTTGCTACGAAATCTTGTTACGAAATGCTAATGTCAAGTTTTTCTGACAATCTGGTCATTCTTAAATATCTTAGCGTAATTGAAATGTTAAATTGTGTCACTGAATTTTCGGTCTGCGCAGAATTTTTATAAACCTTAGATTTTTAGGGTTCAAAATTACTTTATGCTCATGCTTACACCGAATCTTCGGTTTATTATAAAGGTCAGTCCTGTGATTTTTACCAGACACATGCTAACTTTAGAAGTTTTCAAACTTTTTTTGCAATTCTCAGAGTTGTTGTTTTTAGGTTTTAACTGCACAGAACTATGAAATGAGCAATATTTTAGAAAGTAGGTTAGATACTTTTCTTAGCCATATTGAAAAGCGCTTAGTAGCCTGCAATGAGTGTTATATAAATAGTATATATTAGTATGTTTTAGTTTACATTTTTTTTTGAGTGATTGGTTCAGCATGAAAAGAAAGAACATAGTTAAAAAGATTCGCTAGAAGGAATTAGTTAAGTAAATCACTTGTTACGTTAATGTACTTAACGTGCCCAGAGAGGAGTTAAGTCGCGTCCTTCGTGTTCATCAATTTAAGATATTTGCGTCTTTTTTTTTTGTTTTATCAAATGTGTAATTTGTACCCTTAGTTTTTGCAATCTTGCCGTTGACACTTAATAATGAAACTCCACTCGGTTCTGCGGAAAGGAGAGACAGCTAGGTCCAAGTAAGATTTTGTTTCTATCAAAGTATATCTTTTTCACCCAACTATTGTGACAATAACTATCTTCAACAGCGTTGACATTCTGGTAAACTTCGTTTCGAAATTGATGTGAAAATCGTTTAAAGCTATGCACTGCGTTGAGGAGCTTTGGTGCCGAACCAAACACAAGGCTGTCCTTTTGTTAAAGACTTTTGAATATTTTATTATTCTTTAAGAGGGTTTCTTAAAGGTTGCTAAATATTTCTGTATAACAAAGTTTTGATTTTTCAATGAGAATAAATTTATATGTCTGTGAGTTAGAGGTGTCAGAAAGTTTCAGACTTGGCAATCCAGACCTACACAATAAGTGGCCACCCATCATTTGTAATCTTGAAGAAAGATAATTCTTCCGGCTAAAGAGAGAGACCTCTGCAAGCAAGCTTGTCATCAAATCCAGCGACTGAACAGCGAAACCAATTAATATCAAACAACACAGAAATTCACACCGGCACATAAACCTCTAATTTGCAGTCCCACAAATGAAATTTCATTTGAGCTGGTGTTTTTTCTAAAAAGAAAATGTAATTCTCGATTGTTGAAAAAGGGCACAGCCGCCAGAATGGTTGGGATTCAAGTTGTACTTTTACCGCAGCAAAATTTGAACAGTGTCATCTATTGCACCGTGTGATACAAGGTCAAATCTTCGATGACACCGAAGAATCGATGCTTTCAGCGGTAACTGAATTATTTCTGGATAAAATTTTCAAATTCGGTCAAAAAAGGTGAAAGTATGCTTTTTAATCAAGGAAAATTAGAAAATGTGCCAATTCGGTTTGAGGTTAAAAATTTAATTAAGGAGAAAAGTAATCCCGTTGCATTTGGGAGAATTAAACATAACTTCAACCAAGCAACGTAAATGGAATGCAACTACTACCGTTATGACGTCATAAAATGTGTGGTAGACCTCAATAAACAACCTAATTTCTACATGAATGCGGGACTCTTCAGAGTTCTCAGCTTATAATTTAAACTATTGTTACATGCTGTTTTTGATATTATCTCGAGATTGTTATCAATTTTTCTTCAAGTCCACCTTTCACGTTTAGGTTAAATATTGGGCCACTGAAATTTACACGTAGCATATTGTTACAGGAACAGAGTTAGTTCGTTAGTGAAAATAACGGGGTTACGAGAACAATTTTCATCCCATTTTCTTAACAAGGAAAATTAATGCTAAAAACGTGCTCAACATCGACCCACCGCAAAGCCGGAAAGGAGTGTCATCTATCAGTGCCTGTCAGGAACATGTACCTTCTTATAGAGTGGAACGGTAACTTTCAATCCCAATAGCTCGATAGACCAACATAGTTTACATCTAAAAACTGCTAAGGCTTAAAAAACTAGTCACCCAGATCGATCTCCTCATATGCACTTTGAATCGCATATAAGACAAAGATTTTGAAACAAAAAAGCTGAAGCAAAACTGAAATGAACCACCTACAGCTGATGGTGAACTTATTCCCAATTTTCGTAAACAAAACCCTTCTTGCAACGTGTAAGCTTTTCCGTCAGAGAAGACTGTAAATAGTAAATCTAAAATGTT